ATAAACGGTGCTCGACAATGTGCGTAATCAATTTTTGTGTGACGTAATTCTTCCCGATGCAATAAATAATGTAAATACTTATTACGGTACATGTAATAATTAAATTACGAACCTTATGGCACGTTATTAGGCACGTTGTAATGCATATTGGATATTTGATTAAAACCTTGCACTGTATTGTATTTGGATAGCTCGGAAAGACTTTATATATGATATTAAATTCAACATTTATCTCGTTAAATATCCAGTTTTTATCATTCTTTTATAATACGTAATACTTATAAATTCATGATTCATTATAAAATTAAATAAATTTAAATATATGTTATAGTTGTAATAAATATTGAAATTACAATAATAAATAAATTAATAAATTAATTAAGGAACATTTCTTTTTTACGTTTATTTGATACGTATTCGCCAATATCGAATATCATTGAATCCGAAACTGACTTCTACTATATCAACTGCATATCTGCAGTTTTTACTTTGCTCTCGGCCTCTGCAGATTAGGATCGTTTGACGCTCGATGATCTTTTTGTCTATCTCTTTGGCATCTTGCTTCCTTGACATCCTCGGCTGCTTCATCTCCTCGCAAAGTAGTTCTTCCTTGGCGCAGGAATTTGTTAACGCTCGCGACCCATTATTCGAGCCACGTTTTCTGTAACGCGTGACTGCAATACCAATTTTTTTTGCTCTACACAGTATTTTTTGCATATGTCGATTGCGGCCATATCACGATTAAAATTATCTTAAGGCTGTCCTTTTGCTCAATGGATGCGGTAATGGATTTCTATAAGCGTCAGGCATCAGATCGTCAAAGAGAAATTCAAGCGTCACGGTCGAGGACTTTTCATAGCGACGCTGGAGATAATCAGTTATTTCTGCTTCCGTCGCGGATCAATCGGAAAGCGAATGGAAATTTCTGCTGCATTTGATGGAAAAAACTTGAAATTAAAATAAGATTGCAGGCCCTGATATTATACATATAATAAAAAAGTTAACTACTCCTTTATGAAAATAAAATTTGTGATATTGTATAGGCGTCTTTTCTCTCTCGAGAGAGAACAATAATAACCCGAATACTTAACCCTTAAATGCCACCCGGGGTCCAGCGGACCCCTGACCCTTTAGAATGAAATGTTAAATGTTCTTGCCAAAAATGGAGCTCATGCTCCCATTGATGATAGTTGAGTGATTGACCTACCCGTTTGTACACTTAGCAGTACTCGGTTTACTTAATTTTTTATACTATGTTGAAATTGAAATTTTAACAATCTAAACATTTTATTCTTTTTTCTAAGCCTTGAACAACATTGAAAATAATTTTTATAACTAAATATAAAAAAATCAATGAGTAAGGAGACATTTTTCATGGTGGGGTCTTTTAGACCCCATGTGTCATTTACGAGATTCTTGAGAGGTGTGGCATTTAAGGATTAACAAATATAGTCGAGTAATTAATAGAAAGAAACTAGGTGATTTAAGATTGCAATTACGCAACTTTCTCACAATCGGAAGCGTAGATGAGTTATCGGAGAGAAGATGAGTTATTAAAAGCTACACGGTTATATCATATAATTATACAACGACGAAAGAAACGTTTCTTTAATAAAACTGTGAATTTTTCGATAAAAAAGAGCGTTTGAAAGACCGCAACATTATTATCGACAACGGTATTGTATTAGTTATTTTAAGAATTAATTATTTCTTGAAAGCTGCATAATCTCGAGGAAAAGAGTCTCGGTGTTGAAGCAATCTGATTTAATATTTACTCTGATTCAAACACACCCGCACGCAAATTTTCAGCACCGTTTCGAACGGCAGATTGAATATCGGTGTGTATTGTGTTGTAAATTATTCTTCTCTCAAGGTTCTTGCGAGATCGATTTATGGGATTGGTTAAAGACGAATAGTTCTTGTTAGTTTCAGTACAATAGCTGATACGTTTTCGGTGATCTTCCGTGTACGTCAACGTGACGCCATAAATGGCATAAATCAAATTTGCGACGGCACATTAAGGCGCGAAAATACAATATCTAGTAGGCGGTAAAATGGATCCCAGAAAAGAATCAGTCGGGAAGCGATTAATCGTCGTGCTCGTTTGTAATCCCTAAGAAATCGATTCGACGTGGTGTATCCTTTTACCCTTCGCTCGGCTCTTTTAATGTTCCGCTTATCGCGGATAAATTCAATCTACCGTGAGAGAAGCGTTATATCGACTCACTTTGATTGAGAAATGCTACCTTTTCATACAAATATTTCATAAAAAGTACAGCATCGATGTTTAACACATTAGAGTATTTGTAAATAACATTTGGTGTAACGATTTAGCGCATTAAATTTTGTTTCTGAAATAAGCAGAGACATAAGATTTGATTCCAGATCTTGATATATCGATCATGATTTTTTAAAATCGACTTATTAAACGCCCGCGAACGATGTTTATGCATATCTTGCACTATATAATCATTTATTTTTCAATATTAAATATGTTTTTAAAAGTCAATTTCAATCTTGAATTAAATTAGCTAAAAATTTTACAGCTTTTACTGTTCTCTTTAAACATTTTATATATTTTTATTATTTTATTTTAATGTTTTCTTTTTACCATTAACTTTTCCAAAACGTTTCATATTTTGTCGGTCTATCGATATTACCAAGATTACAACATCAATACCACACTCCGAAGATACATAGACGAGTGTGTCTGTATATCCTGAGAGAGCGTATGACATTTCCTTCCTTTCCCCGTTCTCACAACGACATTTCTTGTTCAGGTCCCAAGATTGTGCTGATATTTTGTTACTGTCATGCGCCGATTGCACGAGTCGATTTATCGACGACAAAGTCAATATCCCGCTTACGACAAGTGGGAACACGCATCGGCAGTCATTTCGTCGAGAATCGCTCAGCTGCTGGGGATCGCGCAGCCATTCTATATGTATAATGTAGCGACGTTTATAAATTTATTCGGCGATTGCCATCGCGCAATAGTATACGCGGTCGGAATCCGCGTATCGACTAAACAGCGTGGCTGTCACGAGGAAAAATAATATTCGGGAACATTAGTGTGACATTTTAGCAGCAAACCGGAAATTCGCGTGGACTATTCATTGCAAAAACTGGACGCAGGTGAGCATAAATTATAAATGAAATAGTGGCGGTCTCGACGCCGGAAAATCGGAAAATAAGTCGAGTCTGTCGACTCGATATAATTTTATTCTGCTCCCTATATCTGCCTCCGTATTCGTGTTACCCTGAATAATTTATAAATATTTCATTTTTAAAACAGTCAGAAATTATGTTAAATTGACGGACTTAATTTTCTCGAGCGCACAAACATGTCGGAAATGAGAAATCGATAGCCCGATTCGCGCTACCGCGGATTGCGAGGTAAACGAGAATTTTAATCGTTAAGAAGCTAACTGGGTAGCATTTAGCATTCGGTAATTCCGCTTAAAAATAAGTTAAGTCTACTCCAAGTGTGCAATTATTTACTTGGAAAAAAATCCGCAAATCGCTTCGTAAAACGAAAGCTTAATTTTTATATGAAGTATAGAAAACTTTTATACATCTGCAATTTTCTACGATTTCTGTGAAAAACGTATTTATGAGATTTTTTTCCAAATAATGGTATTTTCTTCGATCCGCACGAGTGCGTGAGAAAAGATTTATAGATGCAACCGTATAAATACAACCGACCCTCATTAATCACACCTCTCGACTACTGCAAACGGAAAATAATCGGAATTGGATAGTTTAAGAAAAAGCTCGCTCTCGTAAAAGCGAGTTTAATTGGATTCTCGAAATACTCATCGAAATGCTGATCTATGGAATGCTCATTTTTCATCATTTATGCCTCGTCAACCCGTTTGCAACATTTATCAATAAGGCTTTATCTCCGTGACGACAGAAATTTCCGCTCCACGTCGATGTATGTGTCCTTAAGGATCAATAAAACATAGTCAGCAGCATATAAGAGGGCGCCTATCCGCGACGGAAAGTTGCCGTCTCGAGAAGAAAGTTTTGTCACGTTTAATGATAGGAACACGGTCAAAGGATAAAATTGAGCTATCGATTTTCATCCGGGATTTCCATGTAGCATGAAACGTCGTGGCTGTATGTGGTAAGCGTCTCGCTCCGAGAAATTGTACGATCTCATTGATCCTCGCTCGATCGCAGTGGCAAGAAACTGACGAGATTTGTGCTGCATTAAGCAGTACGCTTTGTCCTTTGTACTTCTGCTGACTACGCCTCTCTGTACGTACCCTTTATTCAATCGACTCATATGTTTCAATTTTTGCTCGCTCCAAGTTCAGAAACGCAGCAGTGCCATACATGGCTTTTGAATGTAAATAATTATTTTTGCGTAGAAGATAGAAGTCTGAATTTTGCACTTTCTTATAAATTCTAAATAAAAAAGTGTAAAATAATCAAGTTTATATAATATGCATATTTTTTATATAATTATGTATGTATCATTATTATACAAAGTACGTATAATTATTTGGATATAATACAAAATTCTAAATTTTACTTTATATCGACTATAGCATTATAAAAGGTGCTATAAATCAAAACACTTCATGAATTGCAAGTGAAGTACTCTCACCTTTTTTTTAAAAAAAGAGAAAATGGCATATATGATCATCGCGCCAGAGCCGCATGTGAATTCATATATCCCTGCAATTCGTTGTAGGAACACACGTTAAATGTCCACGTATTCCCGGCGCTAATACCCTGCAAACGAGAACGAATTGACGGCGGCAAATCGTAGAGTGTCATCCGTACGGTAACGAGCTCCCGTGAAATTAAATGAGATGAAACCTATCGCAAACCCGACGTTATTTCCGCCGTCGGTTAGCATAAGCTCTCTCGCGTTAATAATCCAGAATCGGTTTTGAAACGCGCGTTCGCGTTCGCGCTTTTGTCCGAAGGCAGTTCCCCTTCTGCGATACGTAACTGTTACTGACATGAAAATTAATTCTGTATTTCAGAGGCTGATCGCTGAACTCAACAAGGAACAGGAGGCTTTCATCGCCGGCAAGCAGGCAGGCGAGAAGGGCGAGGCTGTTGCACCGTGGGTCGGCGCGCCGAATGAGGACGCGTTGCGTGAAGAGTGCCTGTCCCTCTCGACCGTAATTATTTTTCTTTTTTACTTTCTCTTTTCGTAGAAACATTTTGAGATTTCCAACAAATTTTCCATGGCTCGACATCGTCTATTCACCGATCATACCTTTGTTAAACGTAATCAAAACAGACGTCAGTATTTGTCTCTTCCTCCGCTGTGAGACAAATCACAAAAAGAGGTTTATTTTTCAAAAGACTTGAAACCTTTTAAGATTTCTACATAAATATTCTTTTTTCTTATTTCGGAAAAAGACGGAGCGTGAACGTTTGTTATCTTATTCGTCAATTAGTGTTTTACACCAGAGAATGTAAAAACTCCATTATTTTATTGTTGTAGTTAAAATTTTATTGTGGTTGATAGTTGCACGCGCGCTTTCGCTAATATAAATTTTCCAAGTTTTATATGTACGGTATTTATATATGATTGGTCCTAATGAAACAAATTTACTCGCTATTTATGTGTTATTTATATAGTGCAACTGTATTAAATGCATAAAATTATCTATATTAAATTTAAGCATCTCTATTTGAAATACCGTGTGACGTATGATGAACGCATTTCATGTCGTTATTAAATTTTGTCGCACAGAGGATTTTCGCTGTAAGACGAATTTATTAACTGTATGTCACAAAGGTACTGCTCTGTGATAGAATTTGCATATATTAACTATTATACCATACAAAAGCCACGTATGTCACCGGACTTTTTCTCGTATTTTCGTTTCGTATTTTCATTTTATTTATCATCGTTATTTTAGTTTCATCACGTTTCCTGATATAAAATCTCTAAAACTGCCGCTCGAATACCGTTAGCAAAAATAGTCTTATGCCGTATGCAATGAAAATTTTATACGATACTATATCCTTGGTTGTTTTTATTAATTTTTAAGCTTCTAGAATTGACATTTAAAAATGAATATAGATCTTAGCCACAAAAATGTCTTAAATAAAAAGTTTCAGAAGTTTTATAATTTAAAGAAATAACTTTTCGGAAAATTATTTCTTTAACACGTTCAGTGTTGCGTGATTAATGTATGAAAGTGACATTTGTAAAATTATTAATTTATCCTATGATTACAATAAACACGTAATACTTTCTTTTTTAACCGGAATTATGTTATATTTTTTAAATGTTTTAAATTAGTCTTCCATAACTCAAAACTGCTCATGACAATTAATTAGAGAAAATATTTCCAACTTTAGGAAAAGAACGGCTTCTGCCGTTTATTCATGCTTAAGGGTCCTTTGCTATTTATTTACGCATTATTACAAAAGATTAGCGTCACGAATTTGGCGTATGGCTTTAGTCGATCCGGCCGGATTAAACGAAGATCCTACCTCCTCATGAATTTCAGGATCGACGTAATTTCGTGAGAGCACCACCACCAGGCGTAGAATTCGCTTGGGATTTCGAAGCCGTTCAGCCAATGGCACAGGCCACCCTTGCCCTGGATCCGAATCTTGAAGCTATGAGGTTCGAGCTTGTCCCGAAAGTGTAAGTAGATTAAAATATCCCCTATCATAACGATCCATAACGTCGCTCTTCTGTTCCACTTGTTTGATATCACGAAAATAATAATTCTACGTTTTCCGATTAAATTTTGCTATTTTATTATTTTAAATAATTTTATTAATTAAAGTTAAAATGATCATAAAGCATTTATGTTATATAATCTTGGATATGAAATATGTGACATATAAAATTAATTTTTCTGATGTGTTTTATTATAAAAATAATTGCGCTCACAAAATCGCACAATGATGTGTAGTAAAAAATTAAATAACGTTAGTTGGTTATTAAATTGTCGACAAATGAAAGTTATAAGATTTAAATTATGAAAATATGATTAGATTGGATTAATTGACTTGCTAACTTGTTTGCTCAAAGTATACCGAATTATTTTCAGTTAATTTTATACTCTGTGAAGTATGAAAAAGTTGATTAAATAAAATTCGATGAAAATAATGCATTTTATTGTTCTCGTAATTTCGTTCAATTCAGTAAAACGAAGTAAAGAGAAGTCAGAAAAAGAATTTTACAGTAAGTTGATAACGAGCAGCCAATAAAAAGATCGATAAAAAGTTAATGCACAGCTTGCTCTCTCATTATTGCTCGATTTAAACAGTTAGCCGATCCCGTCGCTTCGAAATCGACTTTTGTACATAAATTTCTCTCTCGAGACTTTTGTACATAAATGTCAAGGGTCATAAGCGAGAGCGATTACCGTGCGAAAGTGCCGTGCAGCAATATGAGTACATTGTACAGATTTAATCGCCTCGGCGATTAATCGGTTCACGACTTCGAATGAAATACCGCCGCGAAGCGCAACGTTAATTAGCGTGACTGCGAATCCTGATCCCTTCGTCAAATCCCCTTCATCAATTTTGAGAAACTTACCCGATCTATCTGCGGCAGTATATCCGAGGAGAACTTCTGGCGCAACTACTTCTACCGGGTGTCCTTGCTGCGCCAGGGCTACGAGCTGAACGCGATGGCCAGCCAACAGGAAGAGGAAAGCAACCCCAATCAAACGCTCGCCAGTACCGATAGCATCGATCATACTCAAGGTAATTCGTTTCCTCTGTTTCATTTTTCTTCTCTGTTACGTAGAACGGTTTGCGTAGTACGCCGACGTTGGCATTGCGACGTGATTAGGTTCTCCAGTTTTGCTCGAGAGCGTCGTCGTTCGACGCGCTTCCTGATCTGTTAATATCGATTACGGAGCACGCAGCTTTCTGTAATACTGAAGGGGACGCCCTACACGCCGCCAGAATATGTGAATATTAACGAGTCGAAGTCTGATCGAATGATTGCCATATTTAATCGAGCAACGTATAGTCAAAGTGGGGCATCTCACCCACTTTTGAGCGAAATTAAAAATAACGCCTTTATCATTGTGATGTTAATATTAAAGTATTGATAAAGCGTTCGAGATGTCCAATTAGATAATAACGACATTGATTGTTATATATGTTAATTGTAATCTTCAGTGTAACGTACGATTTTGTACTGGCCAAATTTTTCATCTGAGATATCGTTCGCCGAGACTCGGAAAATTCCGATTGAGCGGTCGTGGGCTTCCCCTTTGACGTTTCGCGGCATGACGTCTCGCCGAGATAAGCCCCACCGGGTTGGATGATGCAAGCTGCAAGAGATGCTGCTTGCGGACGGGGGTAGAGAGATCGGCGGCGCGGGCGTCGCGCTGCGTTTACGCCTGATTTGCAATTCCGAGCAAGCGTCCCACGGTGGACCTTTTTGCATGGTGTGGAGTTTTTGAGACGGTGTGTCTGTAGTGGCGTGCGTTTTCTGTGCAAATGTCATGCCGGATGCTGGGAACGTATTGATCCGAGGGAATCCCGAAGTCGTATAACTTGAACTTCAGTCGGACGGAAGGCGCCGCCTAACGTTTGTAATATTTTATGAGATTATATCGAATTTGAGATTGAGTCTGTGATTACGGCACTACGATTCAGACGCGTGTAGCTTGTATTGCATTTACGTAATCCACGCGAAAGTTCACGCAGAAATCGATATTATGCTAATATTTTGATACTTTGATCTACAATGTTGTTACTACGTGACGTATCACGGTATGATTCATTAACAATCATTTCTTCATATAATACATAATTCGTAAATCAATGTGAAGATAATACGTATCGTGAAATATTACGTTGGTATTAATTATTGATAACTTCCACGTTCTTTCATGAAACACTGTAAATGCTTAAATTAATTTTATTTTAACAAAACCGTTTATAAACTAGATAGTAAAGGAAGGGGCGAAGAAATCATTTTATTCGAATTAAATTTCCTGGTGAAGCGGTTTATTTAATGGAAAATATGCTAGATTGTCGACGATCCGTACCAATACGTTCCGTCGTGTATATGGGCTTTTGCACGAAACGTGGTGTCACATCGGGATTACGGCATCGGAGAACGAGAGAGAGAGAGAAAAAAAGAGAGTAGGAGTCATCAACCCCTCGCGATCAACCCTTTAGTCGTGCAAACAATGGAATTGCGAACGGCGCGAATGAATTAATGGATTAAGGAAAATACTCGATGAGTCGGGAAATCGATCATGGGGAAACGAGCGCGAATGCGTTGAAATATCCCTGAAGGCAAAAATTATTCCGTGAATAGGGGATTGCTGTTATTCTTTCTCTCTCTCTTTTTCTCTTTCGCGTTCCATCTCTCCACCGCACCGTCTCCGACTGTCGAACCGACAACTCTAAAAAACCTGATTTCGCTCCAGTTCCAGTGTATCGCGAGAAATTGAATCTATCCGAAAGAAAACGCTGGGAGATTCGGTAGTATACTCGGTCGAAGAATACGGATATTTCCGAAATATTTCCCAGTTGATGAAAGAACGAATATCTTCGCACCTCAGAATTTAGGGCAAAACCTCGCGGTATCCTTAAGCGTCGAGAAACGTTCCCGAATCTCTCTCCGATATTTAGATCGTGGATAAAGATAACTTTTTCGTTGCCAATATAAATATAATATTTCGCGATTCCATCGGCTATATATTTCGTCGTACATGTATCGGTCCTGAAATCACTCGCAGTTTTATTTTCGTGAAAATTCGGCACGTGCGTGTATTTAATTTAGCGATTCAATATCTCGCGCTTAAATTGATTAACTGCCATTCGCGTTTTCGATTGATTAAAGTGCCTCCTGCTCCCGCGTTCCTGGAACTGGGTGCGATCGGCTTCGGCAAACAACCGCGGCACCCCCCGTTCACGATCGCTGATCGTTTGCGTGCGAAATCAGATTCCAGTAGACTTAGCGTTATAGCATTAGATACATAAAAACATACGCGCCAATGTACATAATGACACGCATCTTCTCATGTACACGAACACGTATACATACGCGCACCCCAACCCGTCTAGTTTAGCCGTCAGTGTTGTCTTGCGAACAGTTCAAATGACCACTGGCCAGACTACCACCACCGGCGTCACGACGGCGAGCAGTAACAGCGCGCTGGCCGATTCGCCAGGTCACGAGTTCGTATCCGATACCATGAGGGTCTCGGACACAGACCTCGAGGAGGTCCGAGAGGGGATGAAAAAGCTGGGGATGCAGCCGCCGAAAGGTCAGTCGTTGATCGTTGGTCGTCGTTAACTCTCTTTCTCTCTGTCGCGCGCACACGTGTCAGATGTGACGCTTGTCGATCTCGCCGTCTCGATCGCTAATTCTCGCAGCTTTTCCCCGCGATAATCTTCGTCGACTCAGACGCAAGAAACGAGAGTAATTCTAGAACTGGAGGACTTGGCCTCTGCATAGATTGCGGTACTCGCAGGATTTGCCTTTTAAATGAGAATTTCCGAACTTCTATGACGGCAGATCGGACGTTACGTTGTCCAACTAGAATGATTTACTTCCAGAGAATTCCTTAGATTTTCCGTTCCCTTAGTCTTCGTTAGTTACGACCACCAACGATATTTTGCATAATTACGTGATAAGGACCCTGTTCCTTATTTGCTGGCGATTAACGAACGGTACCAAACAAGATTGAATTAGTAATCGTGCGAAGTTTATGACAGATGAACGTTGACAAGCAATATCCGCAGTTGCAGTCTTTTTGTTATTGTATATTTGAAAATCTTGTATTAATTGAACCAACCAAAATTGGATAAAGATATCTACATCGAATATGATTTGATAGACAAGCGAAACGCCTGGGGACACCCGTTACACAGCTCTTGCAAATTTAGTCTCGGAGAAACGCGGAATCGTTCCGGGTAATTGCATCCTGTTAAGCGTTATAGCGAAATTTGTCGTCGGCCGAGAGATGGTTCTTGAAAACTATTTCTTGCCGCGGGGGGGATTACGTACCATTCATTGATCTCACCAGCAAAACGGAAACGGGTCACCGAGGTGATCGATGCGAGAGCTCGATCTGTGCCACGACACGGTCCAAGAGTATTCCCCTCGTGAGTATGAAATTAATGCCACCGCGCGAAAAGCCTGACCTTAATTTCTCAGTGTGTTACACCATCACCAAGCTAGTGTCGTTTCTTACGTAGCTTCTCTCTGTACATCCCTTCGATCTTCCTGTCTGTGCTTTCTTTAGGGATTGCTTGTTTCCGAATTCTAAGTGTTTTGGCAACGACGTGTGTGCCCTCCGACGTGCGTCACGTCGTTGTCGATGTTGAACGTTTGTTGCGTTTGAACATCTCTTTTTTTCTGTTTTTTTTTTCTCTTTCTTTTACATGGGCGCTCTGAAACTAAACGACCGCTTTTCATTCTATTTTGTCAACAGCCTAAAAGAAGAGGAGAGTGCCCCCCAAATGCCATTATCCAAAGCACACCCCTCAGAGATATACATGCTTCCCACTCTCGAAAACTGACAATTTCAGTTCTTGCAATACCGGACCCCTTCTCGCCGTCTCTTTCCTTTTCCAACTTTTATTTTCGTCCCTCGTCTTTCGTTCTCTTTCTTTTTCTCTTTGTTATTTTCTATTCCCGTTACGTTCGATCGTGAAGCCATCCTCTCCCGGCAACGTTTCCGCGGGACGAACATGGTTCCTTCCTCGCGGATATTTGTTCCGTTTCCGATCGTCGGCAGCCCACGCGATCCCGTGCCAGTCGCAAGGATCAGCTCGATTAAACGCGACGTCGAGTTACGAATCGACGAAGAAGTCAGCGTGAAAAATACGGAGCGCATCCTCCTCACCCTCCACGGCTCCGGAACGAAGTGAACATACGTAAGAAACTGCAAGGTCCGATTTAAGAACATTTAGGCGATTAGATCCGTCATTGGGACATATAAGTTTAATTAGTGTTAGTGGAGACAAATTTTCACGTGAAGTAGCGTTACAAAGCTTGCTGATGATTTTCGTACTGTGTCGTTAGTGAATTTAGAGAATACTCGGGCGATTTATATAAAAATCTCGTGTGTGTTACTTTCACGTGGAAGAGGGCTGAAGAAATGTCTTGAACGGGCACCGCCTTGCGGGCATTTTTATATTTCAATTAGAGCCATATCTTTTGACGAATGCTCGACGTACGAGGAGAGACAAGCTGTTGTTGGCTCGTCGGGACAAGCGCGATCCTTGCGATCCTTTTAGATCCACGTGTCACGGTGCATCCAAGGATGCTCAGTTCCGGTATTTGGCGAGACAAGCTTGCAATCAGCGCACGTTCACTGTAACGCGTGTTTCGCAGCGGGATTAAGCAAACCGAGCCGAGAGAGGAACGTATATGGCGTGGCAATGCCGCGTGATTGTGCTGCGAATATCATCGTTGTTATTACCGTCACACTGCGAGGTCGTCGCACTGATCGCCATTAAACGCCAATACCCGAATCGGTAATGAGTTCGGAGACAATTCACCAGCTGACGAGGAATTGAGAATCGATTTGGGTAACGTGAAATGCTGTTGGCGAACAGCGTCGGGGCCGGGCAAAAATTCGAAAAAGAGAGAAAAGTATTGTAAACGCGGAGCTTTAATTTCGAAAGTATTAAATGTAGTATTCTTTTGTTTTGAATATTTATGTCGAGTAGACGTATTTCGGGAATTTTTTCCCAGCCCCAAGTCAGAAGCACACCGGGCTCGTCGAATTGCGAAAATCGAAGATGAAACGCGGCGGAAAGAGAAACGGAAACATGGACAAACAAAAGGTCGTCACGTCGAAAACGTTGGTCGAAACGTTGTGCGCACATACGCGAACATAATGAATAAAACAGACGCGAACACAACAACAAAAGGGAGGTTCCGCGAGAGAACGAAGAACGAGAAAGAAAATAACGAACATATACGAGCGGAATCAGTGGCGAAAAGATATTCGGCTACGTGTCTCTGTATGTTTGACCGTTTTGCTGTTACCTCTCTCTCTCTTTCTCTTCTCTCTGTATCAATTCCAATTAATCTAGCCTGTTCTCGATTCTCTCCGTGTCTTTGTAAAGCGTATAACTAAACGCAGAAACGATCGAATAAAAATAAACAAATCGGGAAGTATAATCGCAGTTATTGATGAAACGCGAGAGGGATTACGTTGCGCAAACTGCGAACTTAACTATAGGTATATCTTCGTAAGAGATTAATTAAATGCAGACCTAAGGAAAAAAATAAAAGAGAAATATATGTATAAATATATATATACTATAGCTAAAAATAAAATATAAAAACGGCGGCGCGATACTTTTTAATCCGATATTTTTCCCCGCGATCTCCTCGCGATATCACGCAATGTCCTCTACGAATAATCAGATCTCGTGCAAAAAAAAAAAAAAAATAACGGCAGATTCTCAAAAGATATATCAGAGATGAAAATCCGAAATTGTGTGGGACGAGAGACGCTTTCGCGAGAGCTGGGTTATCGGTGAAGGACGTTCGGATTTTTTTTATCGCGCCGCTGTAAAATTCGTTGAATGACAATACGTGTTTTACCGGGAAACGAGCTATAATACCGCTGGTGCCCGGCACTCTCGTGGGTGGTGTAGCTATTGTAGCGATTTTCTTTCGGGGGAAAAAAAGAGCGGCTGGCTGCGATGCGTTTTGCGCGGCACCCCGATCGTCCATCGGGGAAAGGCAGAACGGGATAAATTAATTACGCGCGCGGCGAATTTTTCCACGCGGACGACAAACGATTGGGTTTAGTAACGTAAACGTGCCCCGACGAGCGATTTGTATGCGTCTATCGCGAGGATTTACGCGAGAGACGCGTCTGTAAGTGCCCGTCGGAAACAGAAACGACAAAGCGAACGTACCTTTGTGATCGGTAAAACGCCCGCCCGCGGCGATGCGAAGTCGCGCGTCCCGTGAATTATCGAAGTAGCGTTAAGAATTTCGTTCTTCTGTTAATTCTTAAGTGCGCAGCTTTGCATATATGTTCTGTAACTTCTCAATGTTCTGTGTACTCTTACGAAATTCTGAATATATTGGTTGTTCGTTAGAACACAAAAAGGGTAAAAAAAAGTTCAAAGAGTTAAAAAAAGAGTAAAAAAAGGATTCAAATTAGTAAAGAACTTACAAATTTTTTTTCTTAAGCAGTATCTATTATTTATTTTAAAAAATATTCAGAATGCTACGAAAAATTGCGCATTTAAGGGTTAAGAGTTAATATCGCGAGAAACGTCGATGTTTAACAGTATTACGGTGATCGGATAGATTGCTCATCTGAAATCGTTTCATTTAATGGTGACATGACACTTGCGCCTCAATTTTGTACGTACGTTTTATAGTATTTTATCGCGTAGTGAAAGCAAACTTGATTTTTATTTTTTTATTTTATTTTATTTTACTTTTTTTTTTTAGTTGGAAAAATCGTGCACATTCCATACGTATTGTTTAGTTCACGAACCTCCACTATATGCTGCATAGCTTTTATCTTTATATTTACATTAATTGATTGGAAAATAGAAATAAAGAACTCGTAGGCGCAGTATAGATTATCGTGAAGTAAACTAATAGGCGAGATACACGGTAAAATAAAATAATAGTATTTTTTTCGCGCGCACACTTTATGGCATTTATATTTCATCCTATCTTTTTTTAATATAGCATATTTACGTGCAGTTTTATGGATGAAGATTTTTACGTAGATTCTCGTAAAAACGCGCGCGAAAATATCGGATTATCCGCTTTCGTTTCGCGCATCCGATAAAAGTCGGTGACAACTGAATTATGGCTTTCCGTGTTCTCGGTGCACATTTTTTTTCCCCCCCCGCACGATTTTTCCGCGTCGGCGATATCGAGATTGTCATAGTTGGACGCCGGGCGCGTGTAAGGACGAATCGATAGACGGGGAATGGTTTCGCGCAGAAACATGTTGCGAAGCGTTTTCAGTATTTCGTGTTATTTCGAAGAGAAGGTCTTGGCGAGGTGACCGTCGCCCCTTATTACTTTCTTTCATTTACTTTCCTCAGAGACGGCTGCATACGGGAACGTTTAAGCTGCGTCTTGGGATTACCCATGAGCTCATTTTAGTTGGATCACGGGGGATGAGACGAGCGATGTGACTTGAAATGCGCCGCAAGAGAATATTATTTAAGAATTAGATATTTCTCTAGAGGGGCCGCCAATATTTATTGATGCCTACTATCACTAGTTTATTCCCGTACGATTTTTAAACGTACGCACGATGATGTTAGATAATTTCGCGCTGGAACGACGGATTATTTTAGCGCGGCGGTGTCCAAAAGCTGCGTTCAAACTAGCGCGACTGTAATAAAAAAAAAAGAGAGAATCGTACGTGCTATTTAAAATTTTATTCGGGCGAGCTACAGGTCGCCGAAAATTAAATCCACTTTTTTGATATTTTTTTATTCTGGTTGTGTTTTCACAGCGATCCTCTGGGACTAATATTACTTGTCCTTACATTCGACACGCTATTCTGTACTGTACATGAAATATTGATTTTGCCGTTTTATAGCTTCAGGTTTATCTACAGCACAACTTTGGGCACCGTTGGCTTAGAGCGAAACGGGGATTATTCTCACGACAGCGCATCTAACGGATAATTGCATTCCCGAAGGCATTTAAGTCCCGCGATATCCCGATTAATTACTTTTGTAATTGTGAGTCCACTTTTGTAACGAGTACGTGTTAAGCGAAACGTGATTAACTCTAGCTACTCCTCCCGGCAATTCGCGGTAATTTGCAGAGAGTTATATAGTCGGTGATCGTGTGACAGACGTCGTCGTCGTCGTCGTCGTTGTCCGTGAAACGTAGAAAGGAAAAGCGTACGATCGCGATCGTAATCGCGTAATATCTCGATAATCGTGTAATATCTCCTCCGTCTCTCACTCTCTCTCTCTCTTTCCCTTTCCCAGGCTACTAACATATCATTGTCTTTAACGTGCTTAACGAACCAAGCTCAGAGCGAAAGCTTTCGAAACGTGAACGTCGAAGCCTTCCCCTCTCGCTTCTCGTTGCTCTCGTGTTCTCTTTCTCCAAGCCCTTTTGATTTCTCCAGTTCTGTTATTTGAGTTTTGTCCCTCTAATCCTGATACTTTCACACACAACGCGCACACACATACACATACAGGTACACACTTTATACACGTAAAATGATTTCCGTGCGCAAGAAACTCTCAGATATTCAGCGCGGAAACACAAACAGACGAAACAGACAGACAAACAAGACCAGAGTGTGGCCCTCTCTGCAAAATAGCTACAACGCTGCTTGTGCCTCTCCGCAGAAGAAGATTGGGAACGTGAATTGGAGGCCGAGCTAAAGGATTACGAGGTTGTAACGGGCAGCAATAGCGGCGGCAGCGGCCAGGAGAGGAGCGTCGCGACGGCCACAAAAGACATCGCGGTCAACGATAATGACTGGGAGAAGCAGATCGACGAGCTGCTCGCCAACGAGGACGACGAGGACCTCAAGTGAGCCCGGGAGATCCTCTTCGTGACCGGATAAGAGGGTCGCTCCACGTTGAGATCCCGCGCGAACAGCGAGATCGGCGTGTGCTGGTTTTTCGCATTTGGAACTTTCTCTCTGATACGGAGAAGCTCGCGAATCTTTCTTTTGTACATTGTTAGCCTCTCGTTGATCTCCCGATCGGGGGACATCGTGGCAAGAAGGAGAGAAACGAAGGACGAGGCGATACTCGACGAGGATCGAGTCGTCGATCGACTTATTTTATTTGCTACTGGGAGATCGATGGATTCAAACGCGCACATTGTGCAGGCATTAATTTTCACGATATCGTAACGCTAGTTTTTTTTAAGGAGAACCTACCCAGTTATACCCTATCTGATCAAAAAACAGCTCGTTCTACTCGTGATTTAACATGTAAGAAGAAGGCGGGCTCTCGAGTTTGGCGAGAGCGATAAATTTCTCTCGCCGATTTTGATTTTATTCTCTTTTATTCGTTGCACGGAGAATTCGCGCTATTCAAGAATGGCAATCTCATCTCGAAAATGTAGAAAATCTAACTATCGATAGGATTCTTTTCGCATTTGTACTGGCTTCTTCTTTACATGGAAAAGCGAGAATAGTCCCCGTGTTTTGTTATTTTTTATTTTGATTCGTTTCCGCGACTGTCTCCGCATAAATCCGGATAAAATGGAATACCGCCCTTTCGTAGGGAGACTGTAGTTGCGGGGGATTATCTCAAAAGGACTCCTCTTATTTCGATCCATCACCGATCTCCTAAGGGAAAGAAAAGCGCGAGAATAGACGACGCGAGATTCTTTGAGGCTCGGCTCGTCCTCGAGAAGCGTAACGGGATAAAACGGAGGAGCCAGGCTACAAGCCAGAAACCGCACGAAATATTCTCGACACACGGAAAATCACCGTCGTAACGGCAAAAGTGGGGATCACGACTGTATAAAGCCAGAGAGATAGAAACGAGAGGTCTCCCCGTCGTGTTTCTTTCGTTTCTTTTTTTAATTTCTCGAAAAGGAAAGCACACCTTCTTTACGATCCTCGAGCACGATGAACACATGATGCCCCATCACTGCTGTTTTACAGCTTGGTGGCGAAGAAAGAAAGAAAGACTCTCACGTATTCGTACGATTGTACTTTTCGTCAAATATATAGGGTGTAACAGTACCCATGGGTACTTTAGAGGGTGGTAGGAACGTGTAAACTAGTCTCGTCAGACGTCAGACGTCAGACGCACAATGTTGTCGTGCGACCCATTGCCTGTCTCATAAGTGACCTGAACAAAGACACGTAGCTCTTCAAGAACGCGTCCGAGGACACGGGTTCCTTAACAAAAATTGATTCTTTTGGTGAGACCCCTATCACCCCCTAAAGTTTGTCCCATGAATCCTGTTACACCCTGTATAATCGTATGAATCTTCGTGCTTCCATCTCCGAATTTGCGGAATAACATCCGGTTGTTGTAGCTGCGGAGAGAGAAAAATGGATGCTGGGAAACATATGAATTAATTAACACCACAAGCTTATGTCAATTATCGGGCGCTCTTGTCCGAGAATATAATATTGATTATAATGACAAATATCTTCAAAGTTGTGTGATATTAAAGTAAAATTAATTTGAGGCATGGTCGATGGAGGTGCACGGGAATTCGATTGTTCGTACACGAATGTTCCTCATCGTGGTCGAAGGATCGACGATTTTTCAAGATAAATTACACTGCCGTGTGCCGAAGGACACCGTTTCGAGCGCGGGTCGACGATTGCGACGATCGGTGACGCATTTTCTGCGAACCTGCGCTACAAAATTAAAAATCCCCGAATTATCGTGGCAAAAGCTGTTTCGTAATTTTTAAATATATTATAAAGTTTCCAGATCGCGCAAGTAAAATGTTCCAAAGCGTCAGAAACGCAAATGCGTCATTGATCGCCGTTCCTTCTTCGCAAACTGACGTTTTATCGCAACGGCGCTTTTCGTTCTTAATTGCCAGCAATTATTGCCGATCGCGAATCGATATAGTCTACGAAAGCATGTTAAAGATAAAGAACCGGCTTAATAATATCTGCAATTTAACGCACTCGTTGTGACTCTGCGCGAAATATCCTATGACTGGGAAAGCGGGAAGGCACTAGATTTTAGCGATGTCTTTTGTTCAGTTCTATGTACATTTCTGGCGAAACCTGTAGATAAGATGCGAGGATTGTCGTCGACGACGACGACGATAGCGACGATGACGATGTCGAAGGGAGAATGTGTCGTTTTTAAGTTTGTTCTTGTTATGGAAGTGTTCCGTTATGCGTTGTTTGTATTGTGTCAAAGTGAATTATTCGCTGTAAGTATGACATGTTCGCGTTGTCTGTACGGATGAAATATCGTAATAATAAATCATTGCATTGACAAAACTCCATATGGAGCATATACTGCGCTGTTTCATTTGTAACTTTGTAAAACACGCCTGCGGGAATAAAGGTCTTTCAGTTTCGATCGCGCACGTTCCCGGAGGTCGCGCGGCGCAACATTTTGTTGGTGCAACATTATTCTCCGTGCGACATACCGTCCAATCGTCCCCTGCCAACGGAAGAGACAGGAAGAAACAGTTGAACTTTCGCAGACGGGGAGATATTCTTGCGACAATAAAATCTCGCGTTAACGCGAAACTGCGATTTACCGAATATCGAGTATTGATAAATCGTACGGAATAGCACGCATCCTCGTACGCTTCTAAAGAAGAATACGACAGGGATATCTTCTCCGTGCAGACAAACGGATTTAGTTCAGGCCGTAAGAAAGATCTTGTCGCGTTCGAGTGCTGACGTAGCATCGAATAACGACATGACGAGAGATCATTATCGTAATGCCAATGGCACGAATGATAAAACGCAGAAGAACGCGAGACACGCGCGAAAAGGTGAACAAACGTCGGATCGAAGCGAACGACTGAAGACAACTGGATTTATAGTGGGGAGAAGAGAGCATGGACCCGCAAATTTAATTACTATTCTTATACGGTTCTATATTATTTGCATCTAATTGCCTGTAATAAGTCTTAGCGGATGAAATGTGAAATAAGATACCGTCGCGCGTATTTTTATCGTACACTTAAATGCTAAATGCGGATCGTCTGATTGACGATTTCTATTACGAAAGTGGCATTCAATGTGGATCGGGTCGTTACATCTATCGTTAAATGTATGAAAATATAAGAGTATTTGCGTTCGCGGAAAGCACCAGAGTAATAATGCATCGGCACAGAGGCGGATTCTTGCGCATTAGATTCTTATTTTGTAGATCTCGAAAGGTTCCCGTCACTCACTATAAATCCTGCTTCGGGGAATAATAAACCGTCGAGCGAGGAGCAATTTGCGTTTCCCGTCGAGACATTCGTTTTGCATCGTGCGCCGAGAGTCCGGGTTTTCGGTCAATTTATAACGCCACGACTTTTTCTACCCCTCTAATTGAGTAGCCACCCCCCTCCCCATCCCCGAGGTGAAAGGAGCATCGCGGTAATGCGACGAGATCGTTTCTCCAGAAACCGCACGGCGAGCGGCTATATTATGTATTATTATATCAATACTTCTCTCACGCAATCCGAGAAAAAGTCCGCTCGCGTCCGGCTGTGACCCCGCGGGCGCGCAAGCCCTACGAAGAGAGAAAAAAAAAACGCTGCTTCACATCCACGTTCATCTTTTCCCAAAAGAAGAAGAGCTCGTTGTAAAGTTTCCATTCGTGTTTTAGTCGATATAGGCGAAGTCTTGTAAGATTTACTTAAGGAGGCGCAATTCACCCAGGCCTAAGTCTGTCGAAGTAATGCAAAGGCGATAATCGCATTTATCCGTTCTCTTTATTATTACGCACGGGTTCTCGAGCCCGTTCGTTCTCCCTCCCGATTCCTTCGACTGTACAAATACAAAAGTCGCGAGAAAGAGAATGCCCCACCTTTCTCTTCCTTCCTCTCTCTCTCTTTCTTGGCATACCGGCCGAAGTGAGATAAAAAAAAACACGCGAGATTTATATTACGACGTTAAATTTTCCGCGCGCAGAAATTTTCCGTCGTCCTACCTTCCGCGAAAGCGACAGGAGATAAACGCGATGGCCAGAAATCGAGGTGTACTTCGGCAGAATAATAAAAAGTGAACTCTGTGAATTAATTGTGTAATAAAGCTATCTTACGGTACTGTGCATTCACACTCATAAAAAAAAAAGAAAATGAACATACACCCGATACCTATATATACATATATGTATATGTATACATGTATACATATGGATGAATACATATATGTATATATTTGTCGCAAGTATGACAAATATATACATATATATATGTGTTGTTGAGACTCTATTGAAAGTATGATAATATATTATGGATATTATAATGAGAATATAATGACGCATTAAGATAAAACTATTGAAAAAAAATTATTAATGTAATTGGGAGAATGTAACAATAAAAAAGTAAGAAATAAAATAAAATATAATATTACCTCTTATAAGCTAATGTTTCTTCTACCCTACGCACGTCGTTCGCAGCTGCGATACCTAATTACGAAATACTGTTCTAGTAAAATATAGTAAATAAAAGCTTTATCGGAAAAAGGCTTTAACGGTTTCATTTTATAACGCTTATACCAAGTGTTTTACATGTAAAAATTGTAGATATAAATATAATAATATCTTATATATATGTATTAAAATAAATTTTTATTATATATACGCATCGTTTGTACCAATATTTACAGATCTAAAAAATGTATATACATCGCTTAACATCTCAATCTCCACATATCCCATTTGAAATTCATGCTTATTTTCATGAGATTACAATTAATTATTGTTAACGCTCACTATCCCCAAATAGAGTATTTATCGGTACTTGATAACAAAAAAGATTGCTGCATATATAAAAAATCATTAATCGGAATGACTTGGTCGAGTAGAGGATGGAAGCTATTGAATTGACATGAAAAAAAATCAAGAAAGTCTATTAATCAGTCAAGCTTAACATAGCAAAGTAAGATCACATAAATTTACGAAATATTATGTTTCTGAGTATAAAAGCGTTAAATACGTAGCCCTTTGAATACCGTGGATGCGTTCAACGCATTTCCTTTTTAATTTATCTACGAGATAATTTATGTACAAATAAACTCATGTATATAAAAATATGTATAAATAAATAATATCAGAAGTATAATTGCAGAAAAGGCAAGTATTTTTAGTAAATTCAGTTATATGTCACGCAATCTCTCGATATTCAAGCTCGATGTGAAAAAGAACATTGTTTTTTATCGCCAGCTGAGTTCCGACCATTCGCAGAACATTCAGTATTGTTACGTACTCAAAGGGTTAAGTGATATGATTAAACACGTAAGAAAATGTTTTCACGATTAATTTCTGTTATATATACAGTAGATTTACTTCATTAACCCGTTCTGTGGCGAGTATTTCGAATTGCAGATTAAAGTACGTATAATCCTCTTGTAACACAATATAATTCATCGTATATTCAAACTATAACTGTGTAACATGCTTTCTCGCTCATTCGTTTACGTTATAAATAGGAAGGAGACAGAGCATTAAAATTCTCTTAACATATTACGTCTTTTTGAGTTGACTTAAATTACGACCCCCGGCTCTTAAAAATATACAAATACAACGCTAGCGAGTTTTGTAATTAATAACATACTCGTACTGTCAAGATTCGTGTCTTAAAATTACCTTTAAATCATCCGGCAATACATGCGTAATGTCATTTATTCTCTCTCGCAGTCTCTTTCTTACCGAATTATCGATTGGTACGTCATCGATGCAACTTCTCTCCAACTTCTGGCGAATTCTGAGAATCATATCGACTATTTCCACCTCTTGTTTCCCTTGCACCCACGTTTTCAAATCCTATCCATGATTAATACATTGATAAGAACTTGTAGAAGCGTGAACAAATGTAAAAGGGGAAAAAAATCGATATTCGTACCGCCTGCGACAATTTCTCCAATTGTTTAACTTGCAACTGCTGACTCAGCTCCGTATATCTTGTGTGGAACCATCCGGAGAAGTTCGGCGATCGAAAGAATCGTTTGTACAGTCCTACCCAATCTCCTTTTATGCCTGTAGTTAATTGGGGGCCGGAGCTACTTAAGCTAGCTAGGAAGTCATCTGGATTGAACATTTGTGGTGTAGGAGTTGCCTGGAAAAAAAAATCAACATCATCGTTATATAAATTGATTCTATAATTATTTATTGCCGGCAACTGATTTGCACCTTAAAGGGTGATATGTTTTTTTGCAGTGGCATAAGGGTCGCGATGTATCTCTCGAGCGGAATCATGAAGCTTTCCGTTAGCTCTATCAAGTGACGTTTCAAAAGCGCGGTCTGCACTTCGCCCGGCCGTTTCGTTTGAATGCCCCTGAACAGTTTCTTCAATATAGTCTTGTCTTTTTGCAGGAAGGGCTTGTACTGTGTGTAAACGCCAGGCTTCGAGTCCAGCACCTTCAGATTTTCAGATCTCTTGATTTTATATTTCTGATCTTCTGAAACATCAAGTCGTGAACACATACCACTAACCCGTTAAACCCCGTAGAACTTACCGCTGTTATTGCCGTTACTTATCCGGATGATGTGCGGCCAGTGTTGCAGAGTCTTTGCAAAGAATGGATTCGTCACGCCCAGGATCACAGCAGGCGGTGACGGAGAATCTGTGGTATACTCTTTGAATTCCGAGTCGTGAATAGTGAAATACGGGCGATGATCGGCACAGTACTTCAACGGCGCGATCATACTGAAAAACGTTTTCCGGTTATATATCGTCGTTGTCGATATATAACGAGTCTCAGACGTCTTTTGGCACTTACGCTATAAGCGCTTGAACCATCTCGGAACACGTGGTCGGTGAGCCTGCCATTACAACGATTGGCTCGCTAAGAAGCACTAGTTCCCACAGTAAGTGCACGTAACTAACAACACTGGCTAAGCTCCGGAACATGTCGCCCTCGTATGCCGATGTCAGCATCAGTCTTCGCGTTGCGTGCACGTTCGGTGCGTGCTCCATGGCGGCAATCGATGGAACAGCGGCTTTGTAATTTGAGTTTGGAATATATGTCTGAAATAATCATGTTCTTTAATGCACAGAGAACATACCTCATATGTGCGCGTTGACTCGCGTAACTTTTATATCTGTTTACCTGGAATAACACTCCAATGAGAGGTAAGTGAACTATCTGGCCCGGAACTGGAGGAGGCCAGTGATCAATCTCGCGCACCACAGCCTCCATAAGCGCTGTTCCAGCCTCGAAAAATTCCGGCGCGATCAGAGCGCATAATTCACCGAACAAATTGACAAACGGCAGTTTTGTAATTATGACAACGCTCTGAAAGCACGATATTATACAATTAATTACGAATTAAATAAATTGCAGTTTCAATTTATTGAAACAACCGTTTCAATTATTTCAATTTATAGAATTAACACATACCTTTTGAAAATATCCTCTTGGCAACGACTTATCCTTCACTTGCCGGAAATATACGTATCCCCAGTAATAATCTCTATCGGTTTGTAGAAAAGAAGGTGATTTCCTGTCGTATTCTTTGATGGCGTTAGTTTCTTGCATCATTTTGCCACTTTGTCTTATTCTTACGTGATATTGAGTATCTCCCATACATCCAGAATTGGAGTCGGGAAAGGCTAAGTAACAGACATTGGATCTCTCTTGCTCCGACAGTTCAACATGATTCGGATAAATTGCCTGTCACATAGAAAAAGAAGAAATATTTGCAATATTTACACGACAAGATTAGCGAAAATGTTTTGTTATATTTCGTTAGTTAAATATTAAAGACAAGAAGATAATAAAGTTTCTGCCTCGTCTCACACCTCTATAGCTTGACCCAACTCAAGATCGAAGGTGACGATGCACATACAATGCACCCAGTTACTAAAACGTTCCCATTTTTGATAAGCTACCTCCTCCTCGATAACCTCATTATCCAGTCCTTTACTTGTTGAGCAGGAAGGAACTGACATTGTTCTATTTTCTACTTATCCCGCTAATCTAGTCACTTGTCTCATATATTATTACGTGTGTCATTCATCGTTATACAACATGATTATCTTTAACTGCATTGACACTTGCACTGGCACTTGACTAACAATTATGTCATGTTACAATAGATCGCATGAAGATTCTGAATACGAGCTGAAATAGAAAAACCACCTCAATATATCGTAAACGCAGATCTTGAAATAAATCCGTGACAAGACTGACTTACCACTATACATATATATTTGTATACTATATATGCATCAACTCTATAAATGCATAAATCTCTTCCAGTTGATTGCGCTAATCCTCAATTCTCTACGACTACGGCTAGTCTCGAAATTCTGTACCCTGTTTGGCGATACTTAAAGAAAGTTAAATCCACATATATATAACGTCCCGCTCTCCAGGAGCTGAATAGAGCCTTCCCGCTTGGAAGGCCGAGTCAGAGGCTGGTCCAGCCAGGAGTAGACACGCTTAACGCCACGCGGTGGGTGCGTTTACTCATGTCGTTGCACTTGGCTGTGCACGCACAACCGTTGAAACCTCCATATGTTTCCCGACTCCGGATAACGATCTGTCGAACAATATAGAAATCCAGCTCGCGGTATGATCGACGCCGAGGGTGATTAAATCGTTCAAGCGAGATAGCTGTGCACCTTGACATTCGCGACACTCACCCTCGCCCTGTCGAAGAGATTCTTCATAGCGTTTGGATACCAGCGACCAGATGTTTATAACCTCCGTGTGACGGTCCGCGGTGCCCAAGAATCAGCCTCGTACTCGTCTCGCGCGGTGCTTAACATGAATCCTCCTTAACGAGCTACTTCATTCCTCTGTGATCAATTACTACCATCACGTCCAAACCTGTCCTGGGCCCCACGGTATATTTCTTATTTCTCGACAAACGCATCAACGGGCTACTTTCGAGAGCCTCTCGACTAATAGGGAATTCAGTATTCAGTTTTCAGTACGCATTGATCAAACGAGAAATGCGGAAGCGGGTTGGTGTCCATTGGTGTCTGTCGCAGGTTCTAGCAGCTTACCTGAGAAAGTGGTCCAGGAAAATATAATTTGCGGATGTGAATACGGAAGTCATTGAATCCACAGATTTCTCTCCGCTAAGCCCGCAAGGAAAGAAGATACTCATATAAATTTTTATTTTATATAGTGCATTTATAACCTCACATTTGAATGACAAGCACGTGTCACATGGCAAGATGTGCATCTGTGAGGTGTATCGTTAGTAAGTATTTTTTTATACAACTGTAAATAGCTTGCGTTATTGAATAGTGTATATTTATTGCATATTATTTATCATATTGTATACTCAGTATATTAATTATACTATAATATGTTATTTAATACACTGACTAAATAGTATTTAATGTATCAAATATATAAATAATAACAAAGGGGAATCATATTTTATATTGTATTTCCAGAACTGTGGAATGATGCATTACTGCTCCAGAAAAATGCGATTTTATTGCTGAACGATATGAAGTTATGGAGCTTATAACGTTAGAGTTAAGACCGCTCTTGCAATCCTGCAACGTATTTATTTCCGTACGGAAAGATCTCTGCTTAAGAAATGTTCAAATTAAGCTCCTGGAAAGTAACATAGTATTAACAGCAGAAGATTGTAGGATGAACTTTTCACTGCCATCTGTAAAAGTTCTACCTAATTCCCTGTCCATGTTAAGCATAATAGACAATTGGATCTGCTTCCGTCTACAAACGGCTCCATCGGAATCTGCATTCGGGTCTTTTAGCACAGAAGTGATAACCAACTTGAACAAATCAATTCGGTCAAGCAATTATTCGCAGCCTATTTTAGATAATATCAAATTATTATTTGAAACATCAAAATGCGTTATGCTATGCGCCTGTTGCAAAAGTGTTATCTCAAAGTCGATTAGCTTCAGGAGGTTTCTGCCTTTACCCGACACGGAGTACGATTTCGACGAGTGGTTTTGTTGTAAACATAATTGCAACACGGTCCCAAACAGCGTGCAGCCACAGGAATCCGATTATTTATACGGTTCTTACTTTGCCGCGTTGCATAAAAGTATTTTCGAAAACGATGTATGTACAGATAATAAAACGTTGACTTGTAATAAATGTTTGTTGCACATAGGAATGTTTCATGCATATGGTTTATTCAAGATATGGAACTGTTGCGTAGATTATAAACCGCAGAATGACGCGTTGTCTACTGTAGGTGCTACCGATCCGCTCAGTGATTTTCTGATAATTGTAACAGATTCGCTGAGCGAGATCTTAGGAGAGGAAATTGTTCTGACAACGTCCGTTGGTAAACAGGCTCATTGTCTTTCGATAAAGCCAATGGATTGCAAGCTAAATTTAATTACGGAGCCTGATCACACAACGGTCTGTGATACTGACACTATATCCTTACAACAGAAATGCGCTGCCAAAGTTTTATACAAATATGAGACTAATAACAATTCAGTTAGTACAATTTCTAATTGTTTGAACGTTAGATATCACGAGGTAAATTTGCTTATAATAGAAGCTGGATTAAACTACTTGTTATCATCGACAAAACGACTGCCTCATATTTATAGAACTGCTGTTACAGGCTATTTTCTTGGTTATATCGTCTTACGAGAAATCGCGAACTAAATCAATTTATTGTCCAACAATGTTAATTTTTATTATATATTTTGTACACCTATTTTTATACGCAATAAAAAGAATTGTCTAACACACATGTTCCTCATAAATGAGCATAATCCACTTCCAAAATGTAATAAGATAACCCATTAAATAAACATTTGAACAGTTTATGATTTATTAATTTATCTGAAGGAAATTAATTTGGAAAATAAGTATGTGGGAACATTATTCGTGCTTATAATTACAAATAAATATAAATTTAAGTATTATTATTATATCGTTTTGTGCGCATAAGAAATGCATAAGTTTATTTAAAAAATCCATAATTATGGAATTCGAGCCATTCCTTACATATTGGAAATTTATTCTTGCCAAATGACAATTCCGAGATTGCGCAAAAATAATAAATTCTATAATTAGAATATCGTGTTATTTACGTCCATTAGTGACATCGTAAAACAACTTTTTTATACAATATGGCATGCAATCTATACAATATGATGTATACAGGTTTGCGTAAATTGTACATACATATAAATTTCTTTCCTGATAAGAAATTACAGCGTCAATAAATGTTACATATATAAAAAAAACTTCACTTACGTACACATACTTGAAATGTGGATATAATAGAAGCTTACGATATCTGTGTGAAATTATTTCAAGGATAAAAAAAAAGAAGATACAAGTTTATATCATAAAAATTCATATTCTATTATTCACATTCTATTATTGACAAAATATTTTTAATTGAAACTTAAAACTTGATACGAAAAGTAAAATAGTGGATAATATTGCTTTACCTCTTTCCTAATTAAACTAAGAGTGACTATTACGCTTAAAAATATTTACCGAAATTGTTCGAACGTGAAAATGTGTATCTTCTGAATTAAGCCTGATATTACAATTCTTACAGGCAGTAGGCCACGATTTCTCTTCTAGTATTGTGCTGCATCTAAAATTATCGCGTAATACACATGTATACATAGTTAGGTAACATTCGTTTGATCGCTAGAACTGTGTATTCTGTCTACAAGAGGTGTTATGTACATCCAGCCACCGTCTTTGGTTTCCTTAAAAAGCTGTTCAACAAGAAAAGAAAAATAATTGGTGACAATTATGCGACCGGGAAATGAAGAGCATCAAAAGCATAAAAATCGTACGCTTACTTTTGTTTGCCACGCTAGATTATTCTCCTTTCGTAGCCGCGCTTCTTCTCGTTGTTTTTGCTCGATTGCACACTTGGCCGCGGTAGCTTTATCCATATCGTTGATACGTAGGCCAACTGTCACGTCACGCCAAACTTTTCGTGACTCACATTCATCTTGCTCGCATACTGTTTTGACCAGTTTTCTTTCCGTGTTGAGGTCTCTAACGTCAGCGAACATTTCAGTCTTCTGTATGAAAAAAAGGACAAAATATTTTAATGATAAAATTAGATTTTGCATCCACGAATGATTATATAATATACATTAATATCCGTTATTCACAGTAGCTTGCTACATAGGACACACGAATATCCTAATTGTCATTGCGGCGTTTAATCTAATTAACGTTACGCTAATACCATTCCAATGTTTCCACTTACACCATCCGACGTCTTCACTTCCATCGCTCCGCTCCATTCTCCGTTTATAACAAGAAACGGCTTTTTATCTCCCGCTTGAAAGGCTTGGCATGTAATTCGATTCCGTTTACCGCCGTAAAAAGGTTTCGTTAAAAAATCTACTGTCGCATGGTAGCCGGTCTGCACGCAACTTATCGTTACGGTTCCTCCTAACTCTATCCACGGTATTGTGAGGATAGATCTGCCGTAACCGTTAGGGAAAGTTAAAACGTATTCCTCCCCATGTTGCAGCACGTTTACCCAACCTTTTCCCACGTTGTGCACCCCTATACTTAAACCCAAGAACTTGCTCTTCGTCCAAACGTGAGCCCCGAAACTGATCTTTTTTCCAACATGCTCAGCATAAAATGCACTAACTGCAATCAAACGATATAATAATTAGATAAGTTATTTCGTACAATATATATAATTAGATAAAATGCTGGAATAAAAACATATTTCCATACCTGGTGGATGGTGAGAGACTTGTTCAGCGACAAAAGAAAGTTGATTCTCCTTGCACCACGGTACAGGACCGTCCGATACAAGCTTGCTAGCAGAATCTACAGCGTTATCAGAGGGACTAACATTGGGTATGTTCCAATGACACCGAAAAATTTCACCTAGTATCGGATTATACGGCTTCTTAGCCACGCCAGATTTACGTCCGGCATGAAAGCTGCACAAGTACCAGCGAATTACTTGCACCATCCTTTCTCGAGGTGTAGGCATATCTGCAATGCTAATTCAGGAAAATGGATCAGAAATATTATTTTCAAAAACTTATTATAAAGCGTTGAGATGCGATTATGTTATTGAACAGTCTTATTAACTGGATAATTGGAAGTACCTTACAAATTGATCGGGATGAGCAAAGTAATCGGCGTACATCTCAAGGAGTGACCTGCGCTCTAGGATAAACGTTGGCAGGGCAACCCTCGTCAAGTCCATGCCGATCTTCACTTGGGACAGAAGATGAGCCACGACTGAGCCATGACTTTCCATGGAATCCACTGTAGATGATAAGAGTAAAGAAAGAAATATCAATATACGTTACTTCCTACGATATCTTATGCTTGAAAAACGTATTACGTACTTTCGGTTTCGCTTTCTTCTTCGTAAAGAGCTGCAACAAATACAAAGTCACGGTTTAAATTAAATATTTATAAGAAATGCGTTCTGGATATTGCCGATTTTAGCTTATAGGTCTCCATAACAATAACATACAAACAGTATACAAAGGGAGCATTCAGGAACCTTAACCTGAATTTTCTATCGCATTTATACCCACGGCACGCAAAAACTTACGACTTGAAGTTATGTCCAACATATTGTCTGGCTAAGATAGACCAACTAGTATCCATTCCTAAGCCCCTTAGTCCCAGGATCGAATTGTTTTCTATTAACGCAAAGTACTCCGTTGGACACGTAAAGGTAAACAGCGGAACGTAAAGTTCCACCGAAATTCTCCTTCCTCACTCGTCATTGTGTCAATGAAACATGATCTCTTTCGTTCTATTTATTCAGCACACTTTGAAACAGACACGGGAACATTCGCGATTGTGTCTCGTCTGCGAAACGTCAACTTATACGTCAAAAAAGCGGAGTAGTGCCCACGATCGGACAGAGATCAATAACGGTCACGGTGGATAAAACAGACGAGTATACTAAACACAGCCTGCATTATCAACGACGGAATGCGCGTCTTTCGCAAAGCCCGCGATACCTCCGGACGATTTCGACTAAAATTTATTTTATACAAATAGATGCGCAAAAAATATTCCTTACAAATCCCACAATCACAGAGAGATATCCCCACCTTATCTTGCCACTCGAGTTTTTATATAACGTACTCAAATGTAAATCCACAAATTCCGGATTGATTAAAAATCACGCATATATTTGAAAGAGATGAAAGTAAACTTTGTGCTCCTAGAATAAACGTACTTACCTTCCATTTCCTGCCAACGACATAAGGAAAAGAAATTGCACAGGCTTGTATCTTACATAAATTATTTTGTAATATTAAATTTGTCCACGCCCGTAAATGAAGATTTTGATCTTTAACTAGACACGTGAATATTTCACACCTAAGTAATTTAATCCAAGTAATTTAAAACCTTTTTCGAAAACAAATCTATTATGCCTAGAACACTCCTCAAAAAAAGCTATTAGCGAAGGCAGTTTAAGGAAGCAAAACTATAGAGCCGCTGGACTAAAACGTCAGCTCGCTACTAGTTGACACAGAACATGAAATACCTACCTGTCTAGTTTTAGATAACTAAATCTACAAGTATATGCAATTTTTTATTGAAAAATATTTATTTCTGAATCATTTGTAATATATTATTTTGATAAACGTGACGATTGTGCTGGGAATAATTTTGACTAAAACAATAGGCAGCAAATGGAAAAATATAACTAACAGATATAGCAAAACGCATATCAAAATGAAAGTATTGACTCACCATCGTAATCTACTGATCCATCGCCTTTGATAGGCGGCAGCGGCGGTTCTTTGCGTTTATCTCCCGTGGCACTGTCCATAGTTGAATGTAATCGCTCATTATCTGAATATCTAAAAAAAAAACATTTATATATTATTGAACTTTATCGGAAGAACGCGTACAAATATAAGCTCACTAATAAAAAAAATTTACCAATTAATATACAGTAAAGACCGCACGCGTGAAAAAGGTAACGATTCTATTTTCACATAGAGAGATTAACTTATACTTGCAGCGTAATATGATTCTGGACTGCCGGAGTTGGTATCTCGTCCGCGGCATCGAAGTAATCGTCGTCCTCGTCGGAAGACGAGTACGAGAACTGTGGTACTGGTAAATCTCTATCTACAACTAAAGATGCAAAATGACACTTCAGTCTCATTTCAGGATTAAGATCGAGACAACTCTCATTTAATTAATATGCACAATGCAGAATAAACGTTGCGACATTTACCATTTGACAATGTAGTTATTCTCGGTTCTACACATTCGGAGCCCAACTCGATGCCGGTTTGCACTGTCGCTTCTGGCGTACTAGCTGAAACTAAAATTAAGTTTTTAGAGATGTAGTTTCTCACAGGCATAAGTCCATTTATTAAAAAAAAAAAGAAGATAAACACAAATGTTTCTCGATTAGAAAAGATCACGAATAATTCCTCTTTCCTCTTAATATTTTCGAAGCGAGCGAATCTCGAGCCTTATCTATCACCGAGTTCGTAAAACGCCGCTCTATCTTGTTTGTTCTCATTTTTATCATTGTTATTTGCGGCGAACCACCTGGACAGTTTTTTTTGGAGATAAACAGGTCTTTGTGTGGGGTAATAAGACCAGTCTTGAACAATGATCTTGTAACCGAGGAACAACTATATTGAAAATCTTACCGTGAGAAAGCGAAGGTGAGACGTGCATAGAATTTGACGGTCCTCTATATATTCCATTAACAGGTATCGCCGTATTCTGGAAACATCATTCAACACATGTAAAATCACAATTACAATAGGATACATTGGATATATAATAAAGCGATGCAATAAATACCTTTGCAATTTGCAACTGGACAATGGTATGTTTAACAGAATTAAGCATGGCGTTAGCTTGCGACAGAATGGCAGAATACGTCTTCTGCTTTTCCTCATCTTCAGCCGCATCCCTTTTACCTTCAATCAGTTTGATCTGATCGATCAAGAGTTGAAGATAAACATCAGCTTCGGCTACCTTGCGATCAAAATCTTGCTTGGGTGGAGACTTTTTAGGATCCCATCTCTGCGACAATCGATTCTTACACTGTACATCGAGCTTTATAAAGTTATGACATTATTTTATTATTCACTGTGTACTAAGGGCGGTATATCGTAGTCAGATCTTATATTTAAGACTGTCTCAAATTTACCTGTAAATGCTGTATGACTCGTTCCATTGGCTACAGAGTATCCAAGGATAAACTTAGGATAATCTTATATATAAGATCTGACTATACCGACCTAAGGATATAACAATTATCTTTGTTTCATGTGTATAACATACGAGCGTGTCTGCATTTACATACCGTATGAGAGTGGCGCAGTATCGTGTCTTCCAAAGCACGAACCCAGCGTTCTCTCTCCTCGCCGTTGCGCGTTTGAAAATGAAACGTTTTCGGATCATCCTTGCAGGAGTTGGTCGTTATAGTGAACGTACTGTCGTCCTCGTCGTCGATGCCAATAATAGCGCCTCTCAATCGCACACAACCGCGACGCGCGCCGCGCATCATCTTCTCCTTGCTCTGAAGAGGAGAAAACAAAAGAAGAGGAAATCAGAGAGATAACCTAAAGGGTCATCCGCTCGGGACGAACAATAGAGCGCTAGACGCGCGATATCGCAGGTGGGAAACGGGAACGCGATGCGCTCGACGTGTCGCAGGTGTTCTTACCGTGTAGTATGACAGAAGGCCCGCATTGTCGTCCAAAACAAACCATCGATACTGCCACCCGTTGACAACGTTCGTCCACTTGCTGAGCGAACCCTCCATCGTCGACATACCTGGGTTTATTGCCTCGCCTCGCCGACTCCTACCGATTTTCGCGTGTCTCACAGCGCATTATCTCAAGAGAATCGCGTGTAGGCTCCGGTATATTTATAGCGGAGTAACGGTAATATTATCGCGTCATCCTAATCTCGGCGTTCTCGGCTACAAATCGCCGCATCCCCGCGATCTGCTTCGGTAACCTCGGTTGGGTTCACATGCCAACAAATCTGTATACGACGCATTCCAACGCGCTTTCATGAAGAGAACCGCGTCGTCCTAAGGCGACGTTCATAGGCGGATATTTATAGGTGATTTCGAAATCCTGAAAGATTAATTTAATATTTAATTGATGATTAACTGTATGCGCCAAGCGATATCTCTGTGGTATTTTATCAACACGCGGATAAAATTACAAAGACAAAAGTCCGTATGCGAAATTCAATATGCGCGTTATACATACAATAAATTAAATAAAAGTAAAAAGAACACTACAAGCTACTGTATAATTCTTTCCTCAATAGCTTATAATATTTAATTATATCATTATGCAAGTTGAAATATTACGATGTTAAAGTTAATTTTTTTTAATGGAAGAAATTCTTTCTAAATAAAAATGCGTATTTGCACATTGGCCAATAGTGAATTTTTATACATTACGTTTACAAATTTCAATTTTTATGTATAATTTATAAATATACATATAGCGTTTTACCATCTCGAGAAATGAATGTGGCTATGTAGTTTCTGCGTTCATGAATGGATACGATGGCGCTACGCTACGAAGCAGCACGATTTCAGTTTTCAGTCTTCTCTCTGCCACGTAAATTGACATAACTGTCATAACAGAAGAAAGAGAGAGAGAGAGAGAGAGAGAGAAAGATAAAATCATAGAATTTGGAATATTTGGATGTGTTTTCCACATTCGTGTTAGAGATATCGGTATCGATAGACACATATATGCAGCACTGTGCAGTGTGCACCACTGTGCACACGTAACCGCGAACGCTTATCCGTATAATGAGACTCTCACCCCGCGTCGGAAAGGAGGAAACGTAGCGTTTAAAGGGAAACGGAGAGAAAACGAGGAGCCGAGAAAGAGGAACGCCGGTTGTGCTCCGCTTTTCCACATCCCTCGTCCTGACTAAAGTGGAGGTACTTTCTGAATTTAAGCTGCGGTAACTTCGTTCAACGTAAAAATGCTCCGTCTCCGCTATCGTCGTCGGCGTGGCAATTACTTATCGTACGCTTAGAAATTGTCAATTATAAAAATCCACCGCTTTCTCTTTACAATGAGGGTTATAGCGTCACGTATAGCTTTTTCACGTTAGTGCTCGAAAACTCTTTGGAGAAATTCGCTCTCAAGATTGCGGCGGCAGAGCTTCGAGTCTTTTACGTCTGCAAAATATAATAATGTTATTATCTAAGTACATAGTTATCGTCTAAGTATGGTATAGTAATGATGTTATAATACGTGAAATGTTTGCAGTGATAATGACAACACCTATGTGCGAGGATGGTGGACCGTTGAGAGAGTGGGCGCCGCTCGCCGTCCTTTTGCAACAGATACCTGCCAAGATACAGAATGGCATTTTCACGCAGGACATCAGTTTCACCTGCATCGATGCACTGACCGAGTTTATCGCCATTGGAACTAATCACGGGCTCGTTTACTGGTACAACAGGGAGAAGCAGGATCTGCAGAGACTACGTTGCGAGGTACTTGAATAATTTTTTTTAACTTTTTAAGTCTACCTTGTGGAAAAATTGAGCCTTAATCGATTTGATTGGGATAAACATCTTTTTCCTCTTGTCGCAGAATGTCAACTCCAAAATCACAAGTGTGCAAGTGATCTCCACGGTCGATTACATGGTTGCAGCAGGCAATGAACACGGCGTCGTTACAGTTTTCCAAATTCCTAAGAATCCGCCGGACTCATTGCCAAACAGTTTAAAGCCGAAACAAAAGAAACAGGTAAATTATAAAAATGAAACTTGTACATGTATATATGATGATAGGAACAATCTATAAATATCTATTTTTTTTTATAAGGTGGAAAGGTACAGTATAAGTGGCTTACATAATACCGCGGTGACGGCAGTGGAGTGGTCTAAGAACGGTATGAAATTATTCAGTGGAGATAAAGACGGTTTGGTAGTTTTAACGGAGATTGATTTTTATATGGTAAGTAGATACCAAAAACTTCTTCCTAACGCCTTTCTCACTTTCTCATAAATATATCTTGACATTTTATACTATTCCTTTGCAGCATTTATCCAAATCATCGAAATTGTTGAACGAGAAATATTCTGTGGTACAATTAAGTTACCAGCAGGGCTTGCTAATAGTCTCAACGACGTTACGTACAATTTTAGTGAACAGAAATGAAAATGGGAAAGTGATACAAGTCGGCCAAAAAGAACGTAAAACGTTAGTATCTTCGTACTCGTAATAGCGTAACTTCGTTATAGCATAAATTAAAGAAATATAATGTTATGCTGTTTTTTTAGATTAGGTAAGCTAGGAGCGGTGTTCGGTTCTCGGCAAAATTATGTACAAGAACCGGTAATCTATGCAAGTAGGCCAGGGTTACGTTTGTGGCAAGCTGATAAGGCTGGGACTGTATTAAAAACGCTGATATTTAAGGTATTAAGCTAATACATGCACATTAAGCATTCATACTGAATCTCATCGTTGTATTTTATCAAATCATGAATATTCTGAAAAGGATGCAGTTAGATCGGGTCATACAGAAGTGACGTTATTAAATCCCGCACCCGAAGGGTCGAGGAAGAATCGTGGCGAGCCTTCATTCGGCATCGTATTACCGTTTTGTGATGACTTGTTAGTAACGTACTGTGATGACGTAGTCTATGTAGTAAATCCAAATACTATTGCAATAACATCGATCATAAATGATTTACGGCGCGTTACCGATGTGGCTTGCACTAAAGACGAAATATTTATATTGGAAGGAGAGAGAAATATTTTGCGAATTGCCTATTATCCGGAAAATGATATTTTTACAGGTGAGCGTAACTACTGTTTTCAGTTAAACGCAATTGGATGAAAAATTATCACGCTGAAATTATCTTTGAATTATTTTCTTACAGAAGAAACAAGAAATACATTGGATCCTTTGTCGTCATTTGCTGAATACAGTAAACCTGTTGCTAATGGCATACTAGAATTGACATCGAAATTAAAGGAGAGTAGTATAGTGCCAGCTATTCCCTTTCCAAAAATCAATCCAACCAACATTATTCAATCTGTAGGGTAAGTAAAAGATTATTTCCAGAATCACATCACGTAGAATTAAAAGAATAATATTTTTTCAATATGATTGACCAACTAATCAAATTGTAGCATTGTACCAATTGTTACTATTGGTACTGACGACAATGCGATTATAAACGCAGAAGAAGCTGTGGAAGTGCCGCCAATAGTTCCAATAGATTTAAATACACAACTCGTAACCGATATCAACGCAATACCGGAATACAATAATAGTAATAGAATAAGAAACGCGGAAGACGTGAAGAGCAACGATCGCCGAGAGATATTTCAAAGAATTGGCCAACAGGAATTTGAGGATGTCGTTTTCACGCCTGAAAGGAAGCAAAGAAAATCTCGGAACAAAATAACGAACGGAAGCGAGAGTGTCACAATGCCAGACGGTAACACCGATCATTTGTCGAGCAGTCTAAGCACTGATCACGTGAACGCCAACAAGACGATGACGACCCATTCCTCTTTAATGCAATTGAGCCTCGACGATGATTTTATATTGAAGTCAGATCGAGATTTAGAAACGATTCAACGGGATGTGGAGAACAAGGAGAAATTGTTAGCAGACGTTCTGGATTTTGATTTGTCCAAATATATGACGAGCAGTCGAATAGACATGGATGATTCGAGTATGTCAAATCGTATAGATACTATAACGTGCATCAATTGTAATGTACACTCCAACAATGTGGTGAACGGAGAGGAACCGATCGCGAACGAGGAAAATGAAAATGTCGAACAGAGCGATTACACGGGTACTGAATCAGGGGAGGAAGATGTTAGTTATCGTACCGAATTGAAGCTATTAGAAGATCTCGAGGAATGCAGAAAGACTCTTTTACAAAGTAAACTGAATGACGCTCCATTAGTCGGTAATAGTTTCGTCGATATTCGACAAAAGGCGCCCACGAATCGAGACGAGTTAGAATACCAATTTAACGGTAAGTAATTAATTGACGGATTATCGAGAAGGTGATATCTGTGCCACACGAATCGTGAATATTAGAAATTATTTTTTTTGCAGCTTTGGCAAAGGAATGCGCCACAAAGGAATGCGTTACAAAGGAATCCGCTGTTCTCGAGGAGGAAGAAGATTGGGTTTTAGTCAAGGATGATATACCATCGGTTATGTTTTAAGCAGAAGTCGTACGTAGTAGTTGCCTCGCGCGTCTTGTACATATGTCAATATATTATTAAAATAATTAGACGATTACGTGATATACACAAAAGCGGCTTTGAAATAACGAGTAAATTCTTTCATTACGAATATTTATTCTGTTGGGCATGTTCCATTGATCGTGAAAAGGTTAAATTTTATTCCGTTAGGTATCAAGTATAGATATTGTATAAATTATTAGACGATAGAAAAGTATTGTTTAAAACATTTTATAATTTTGAATGTGTGTGTCAGGCAATGAAATGAATTATTGTTATAAAATAATATGCATTGAAGTCCTAAAATATGCAATTATGATTATTCTCACTAACTAAGTAAAATTGCATTTCGCAATTATTATCGAAATTGGAAGATAATACTAGTCACCGCTTGCATAATATTTTAACATAATGATTGATGTGTTTTAATTATTAATTATGTATTATAATTATTAATATATTTGTGATTAATGAATTTAACCTTTTATGAATCGAATATTTTGTAAAATATAGTTACATTAATTCCATTATTTGGCGTAATATCTAAGTTCGGTAATCACCTAGGTCTATGATTTGTTAAAAAATATATGTAACGTGTTTATATATTTTTGTTTACTATTTTGGGAAAGCTATGTATAACGCAATTCCTCAGGTATATAATATTTAACACATTTTGCATAATCAAATAGTATTTTTACACATCTTACATCTGTCGAGCACACGAAGATATATCACTGGTATGATATATCACCGTCATCCAACATCTTATTATGAATTGTTACAATTTTTGTTTGACAAGAGTATTATATAAGTCTACATTCCAGTCTACACCCCACCATTGATACATTTTGGTATTATAATTTTGTTAGTTTGTATCAGACAAATAGTGATCTTTGAGACACTAGGCTCAAAAGTGTTTACACTAACATTTACTTATTGCTCTGTCTCTAGTTTGTATGGTATATCTCTGTTTGAGTGTAAGAAAAACAGAAAGATTATATAACATATGAGAACCTTATATCATGTGGCTCCAAAGTATATCATTTTGCCACGCATCATTAATACACTTCAAGATACGAAAAGTTAAATACAAATTATTGTTAATGAATAATTAATCATTTACGTAACTGTATTAAGTGATTAATGCTTTATCAACTATTAAAAAAAAATAAAATCACAGTTTTGAACTACATATGCTCATATATTTTCCTATTGACATATCCGTACAGTATAAAGAATAATTATTGGAGACTTAGATTAATTGATTGTACAGTTTTTATTTCTGTCCGATAATTTACATGATACTCGAATATATGAGTTTACTTCATAGTAATAGTTTACTTCATTACTTCATATAACTATGCTTCATTACACTGCGGTTTGGATGAGGTCAGTGTACATTTTAATTTTACTAGCGACGCTCATGTCTACGTATTTGTCATCTACCGATACGATCATACCGCCGATGATGGAGGGATCTACCTTGGCAGTGAGCAAAATGGTTTGACCCTTCTTCACTAAACGCTTCAGCGTTGACTCCAGTTTCGCCTTCAGATCGGCATCAAGCGGATTTGCGGTGATCACCTCGCATACCACTTCCCCTCTGTTAGCGGCCATGAGCATCTTGTACAAATTGATGACCACATTGAGTTTCGGCAATCGGCCGTTCTCCGCGAGTAACGTCAGCAGATTTCCGGTGGCTGGATTCACTCCCTTGCTTCCGATGGCTTTAAAAATATCCACCTTAGCTCTTCGCCTTATCGTAGGATTGTTTATAAAGTCCACCAGCGTAGCATTTGTCTTTAAAAGACCCTGATTCAAGCACAGTTACAGATTAATATCCGAAATGAACTGATATACGTACACAACTTTTCGTTTACACAGACTGTCATACCTGGAGACTGACCAAGTCCTTCTCCACCTCGTTCAAAGACTTCTGTTTAGACGCGGCTGAGAAAAGAGCTGTGGCATACCTGCCTTCTAATCCAAATACTTGAATTGGAGGCTGTAATAATACAGAAAACAGGATAGAGATAATCGACACACATATACAGACAATTGTTAACAGAACTTGTATGTGACTATCATGAAATAGTGCAATAAAATGGAGGAATTAAAGTAACTCTCTGGAAATTCATATGACTGAGCTTGTCATCTATCATCATGCAGAGGTACGCAGTAGTCACTTATCGAAAAACAATTTAAATACCTTCACCAGCTTCTGCGCGGCAGTCGACGTGGAGAAGGTACGTGCCTGAAACGGGAGAATCATCCGCGTTATTGACATTTAATCAAAACGAAGTGGCGAGATATCCATACGAACGTGTGTCGTATGTATGTACAAGCAACAAACATTTCAATGTATGTGAAGATATACGTATCGTAATTATTTTTTTAATCGCGAGGGCTAAAGTAATTTTAATGTCGGGGCAATCCAGGAATGTTTTAGCGTCATAACGCAATCTACTCACAATTATTCCACCAACAGACATCTTCACGGGTCTCGACGACGATCGGAGGAGCGAGGTACGGGTCTTCACTCGGCCTGCTCGGCCACCATTATATAATGCGAGAGTGTGTAGGTGTAGGAATCGTACAAACCGTTTGCGAGTATTGCAGGCGGCACGCGGTACCGGCCAGTCGCCAACGCCAACACCCGCCACGTTTAGTGAAATCTCTTCAAGGCGGACGTCGGTACGCCTCGTTCGCGCGCGTCGGGACGCGTATGTATGCACGCACGAAATACGCGTGCGTCGTGACTCAGAACCGCGTCCAAACAGTTTAATAATTGCGAGCGCGTAAAAAAAAGGAAGTTTGCGACGCCCGTAATCAATAATCGGCCGTAAATGTCGTCGATTGTAGGTTAGGTTCTGGGTGGAACGGAGCAACGATCTTCCCTGCGAAAGAACCGAGGATCCGGTTCGCCGCGCGCGCGCTAGATGTCGCGAGGGGTCCGCTCGCCGAGTTACCGTCCAGGTATTCGCGGCGCGTCTCGGGTTCGAAATGCAATTTCGCGCTTCTCGCGTTACATTCTAATGCGTTTTGCGCTCTCGTTAATCACGAATTCGCGCGCGTGTTAATCGAACGAGGTCGCGGAAGGGAGGAGACGAGAAGGAGGGTGACGAGAACGTGACGTTCTTTCGGTGAGTTTTCTCTTTCCGATTTTTCCGAACTTTTTTTTTTTTAAATTTGTCGAGGGTGTCAGCCCTCCTCGCGACCTCGATTCTGGCGAACTGTATTTGAAAGTTGTATATTCGTAACATCTCGTGCGTCTTGTCTCAGCCGAAATGAGCGACGTAGAGGGTTTATTTTTCACTCCCTTTATCAGCCTTCCAGCAGCAGCCTCCGATTCAGAAACCAACCACACGGAAAATGAAGAAGCATCAAATTAAAACTTGTATACTCAAATCAGAACTTATATGTATATTCGTGTATACGCAACAGTCAATCTTCTTGTAAGAATTTCAACTTTTTTTTCTTTACCGTTAAATTTGCAGTGTCAAATTAAACTCATTTTGGGTCATTTTTAATTATTCCTGTAAATCGCCACTGCACCTACTCAATATATCATTAATTTATTAACTAAAACAATGCCAATTCAAAATAATACTGTTTTGTGTTGAAATAATAAACTTCGACATATACGTAGTTAAAAATAGCAAAATGTTATAATATTTAAAACAAGAAGTATTGATTTAAAATTCATCCTTTAATATTTAACAGTGTTTATTTGAACCGTACAAAATATTTCATTCAAGCAAGTTTTCTTTGACGCAAGTAAAAACTCATTTCGAGATTTCTATGTTGAAACTAAAAATACTTTCAGATCAAGAATACTCTTTTTTTCCGTGCAAGAAATGTGTTAACACCGAGAGAACATACAGAGTTAAAAAGATAGCCGTGAACAGGCTGGACGTAAAGGATTCAAGGGACAAAAAGACGATCGATTCGTTTCGAACGAGTCAAATTTATTTCGTCAACGTGATACATTATATTTCATCTTAATTTGATTTCGCTATTCGCGTCAATTTACGAGCCCAATTATCGGGCTCCTATAACTCTCGCACACTTTTCTCTTTCTCTATCGCCTAAAAATACGACACGTCAGCTAATATTCTCTGCTTTTTTTTTCCTTTATCTTCATTAAGTGTTCCCTCAACGTAAAATTCGACGAAGTGAAATATTCGAGTAGAGTTTCGGTCCCCTTTTTTTTTCTATACCGCGACAGGACCGAAGGAACGTGCAGAGATAATATCGAATCGCCGATTCGCGAGGGGTGGACGATCGTCCGAATGGATCTGGCGACGGTCACCTCTCGAGATTCGATCGTTATTCCGCATCCGACATCCCGAGGCTAGGCGATTATTAAGTAAACGATTCGACCAGGGTATAGCGATCACCCTATTAGCTTTATCCCTATTAGGGCGGAAAGGTGAAAAGTGAAAATTTTCACCATTGAAGTTAATGGCCCTACACGGAGAGAATTTTTTGTTATATTTTATCCTTAAATTCACTTGGGACAACTTGGCAACCAAGGAATTTTTAAAATATACAAAAGACATTTTACAAACAACGTGATAAAGATTACCAAGCAGATTGGTAAATTTTGAAAGAAAAATTATTGAAATTTCCTGGATATATTTTAGTAACATTAATCAAACATATTTTATATTTTAATGTAATAGATATTAATATTCTTTATTATGGTAGACATTAATCAGAATAGCTCGCATAAAATTCTTGGTGGTACATGTTGTCCCACAACTACCATCATGATTTCAGGGTAAATAAGAGAAAATTCTCTCCGTGTAGGGATAAAGTTACATGATCGCTACCCAGGTCGCCGGATCGTTTCCTTTCTTCTCTCTCCTTTTTTTTTCTTTTTCGATCCCGATCACGATTGATATGTGTAATTTAATCGAACGTGCAATCTCGCGTCGCTTAGGAATTAGGAGCAGAACAGGATATGGTCATTTTCCACCCGCGAGTGCTCTTCCGCCTTTTTTCCGCGCGCGCGCCCAACGCTCATATAAAATAGTCACTCTCTCCCGTTGCGCCGAGTGTACGCTCTTAGTCTAATTTACATACGTAACAACTCAAATCGAGTCACCGTGGAACGTTCGAGATATCACGTATGATCCCCTTCGTAGCGATTAAACGTAACGATTAAACGAGAGAGAGACTCAAAAGGGTGCGGGGATTGTTTCTTTTTAAAAAATTATGTCAGAGAACGCTCGGATAAAAAGGGAAAGTAACAAAATATCTCGTATCTTTTACGATTATTGATTATATTATTGCGGTCGTAAAAGTATGTATGTACGGCTGTTTGACGCTCTCATGAGTATCGATCTCTTCTTTCTTCTTCGTTTTCTCTTTCTTTCTTCACAGACGCCCGCGCCGCGCCGGCTGGTCGCACGCAGCATCGATTATTAACCCGAAATAGTAACGCTCTGTTTGCGTTTGTGGAAATACAAAAATATCCCTTTTGCACCGCGGTATCGCGTCATGGATTTATCATTACGAATCGAAGCACGAAAAGCAACCTTCCGGAACGAAACTAATCGGCTGATCTTCCTCTTTTACTTTTTTTTCTCTTTTATTTTTCTTCAATGACGTGTTTAACGATACTGTTTAGGGTTAAAGTCACGAGATAACGATAGTGCTTCCGGCTGTGTACTTTTCTGTATGAACGGGCGTGCGCGGCTAACAATAAGTCTATATTCGTTCATACACATACACATATGCATATAAATATATATGTATATATATATATATATATATATATATGCATATATCTTGGCGCAACGCTTCTCTGCGTGTGTAACTCCTACGTATTGCTTTGTAGACGATCTCTATATACATATATATGTATATATGCGAGATGCGAAACGCGCGTACCTAGGGCTACAATGCGTGCGCGCCGGTCGCGCATTATAAATAGATCGAGGTTGGTCCACTCACTTGTAAATACGCTAGGATATTATAATTGCTCCACAACGTTACAATCTACTCGCTTTGACACGACACAGACGCGATTAAATCTGACGATATATTCGAAATGCGCTCGTCTTCTAGATGTCCGGGGATCTTTTGGGACCCCGGATAAACCGGAGATTATACAAGCTAGTTTTGATTAACGATCCTCGATTAAATTTGACACGAACGATAGATCTAAAACGCGAGACGAGAAAATTGAAGATACGAATTTGGGGCAAAATACGGAATTAGGATATCCGAGCAATCGGTAGAGCCGAGAGCGGGATTGATGAGACGAGATTTGTGGAGTGGACTTGAATAAAGGGGCTCCTCGACACCGGCGCGGCGGCGGCGGCGGCGGCGGCGGCAGCGGCCCTTTTGTCCGCGAGTTGGAAATTTAATGGGGAAGTTCTTAGGAGAGGCTAGAAGGACGTCCAAAAAAATGGGAGCAGTATCGAGTGCCACTAGAATTCTTGCTGAGAGACGTGAAAGGTGCTGAAATTCCCCCCTCCCCTCTTTTTTCTTTACCCGTATCCGTCGCGGCGCGATTTGTTTAATATAATTTTATCGACGTCTCGAGCTGCTACTTTGATTGTCACCGGCTGTACACGTGCGTTAAAAATTTGTTCCAAGGGTATTATCATCGAGCGGGACAGGTCTTTAGGCCTTTCGATTAGGCCTCGAAGTGTGTCTCCCGACGCGACGTCCCGACGTTATCGTTGCGACGTTCTTTATCCGTTGTCTTTCACAAAAAGTGATCCCAAGAGAGACGTGTATTAATGGCGCGGAAGCTAGTTAAGAAATTACGGTGGGCGAAGGCGCGCGCGATATATTAAAGTTTCGTCGAAAGCGACTCCTGAGTTCCTACGAAAATAAATCGCCAAACTATTACACGCCTCTTTCAGGACACTTCATATAAACGGGACGACTTTCCACCGCGATTCGTTTACGTCGTTTACGAGCCCAAGCGCCGTAATCGATTCCTGCTAACTTTATTTTAGGGGATTTAGCGGTTTGAAATCACTGCGAAAATATATCGGGTGCGCATTAATTATTCACATAATCGCAACTATATTACGTTTTAATGAGTCGAGATGAATTTATATGTACGTTAAACGTAATTAGTGCTCGCAGCGCAGCAGAGAAATCTGAAACCGTTGCGGAAGTAGGACGATTGTCGGTCTCTGTTGCTGCTCCATCGGTGCATCCTCCGTGTTCCGTTGTTCCGATTGATTTTGTTCCCAGGATTGTGAAGGGCCACGGGCTTCTCTAGGGAGAGAATTAGAGAGAGAGAAAATTTTATGACTTAGATCGCTATCTCGTGGTGGCCTATGTGCCCGAAGAAAGTGGAGGAGGGTACTAAAATTTCGAAATTGTCGCGCAGATTTACAGAGATACCGTAATGATGTAGCAAAATTTAATGATGCCATATAAGTGTCTCGTGTTCAAGCTCTGTCTATTTTTTTTTTTTATTATTAGAAGTAGACGGCTAATATGTTTCGAGCCTTACACGAAAAGGCGACGAGGACGAAGGGGAAAAAGGATCGCGCATCCTTCCCGCTGAAAAGACGACTTAATTCCGTCAACGTGACGATCGCTATAAATTGCAATGCCATCGGGGGTCTTCCCGGATAACGTCGGTATAGGCGACAGGAATATGAAATTCCGCGAGAGATTGAGAGCATACAAGGATAATCTCGCGGGGTTTGACGTAACGCGCGAGAAGGATGTCGGCGCTCGTGTTATAATCCCAAACAACGGATGTAACACATATATTCCGAATAGATAAGCTCTATATCCATTATAATCGGGCGTATTTATCTGTTCGACGAAACGAAATTAATTTCGAGCAATTCCGATTATTCGCAATACGCGGAATATGCATTCGAGATTATTATATCGTCGAAATGAAGTGACGCGTGCTCGCGGAAATTTAATAAATCGCAAATTATCATCGAACCGGTTATTTTATTGGAAAAAAAATATCAGAAAAATCCGTTAGGACACCGAAAAAAACCGATAGCGATAACTGTTCGGTTATCAGTTCGCGTCTCGTAGAAAAGTGTAATTACGTGCCTTAACAAAGAATATTGCGTTAGCCGGCATTGGATGAATTTGTATTGACTGGTGTTGTGCGGAACGAGCGAGGGGGTTGCGCGAAGTCGGGACGGGAGGGGTGCGGGAAAGGCGGTAATTCCGCTTCGCGGCGTCGCGTTTCCGCTCGGCGGAAGTACTCGTCGAACTCTCTCCTTCCTAAACTGACGCGGCCGGATTGTTTTGCAAATACCACGAGATTGTTTGCAAATCCGCCGCGCAAGCGTACCGTTTAGCGATTCCGCGTCAGTCGACGTCCCCCTCCCCCGGTTTTTCATCGCGCTCAGAACGCGCGGTCGCGGGCGCGTTCCGTGGCGACGACGGACGTTCCGTCCGCCCACCCTTTCCCAAAATTCTCGTTTCGCCTCGCGTGTCTTCGCGAGCGAATCTCGCCGGCGAAAATCATCTCGGTTCCGCGACCTTGACCCGCTCCGTGTGTCAAAAGCTGCCGCTTTTCCTCTCGATAACCGACAGCCGCGTACGTCCGCGCGGATTCGCTTGCCGGCGCCGCTGTCGGCCGACGCGTATACCTCGGAGTCGGAAGCTGGATCCGCGGCTCCGACCTTGCTCCCGAAACCGCGCGCGCGTTTGGCGTCCCCTTCCCGCCGCTCCCCCGTCCACCCCTCTCCTGTCTGTTAATTACTAATTTAGTTGCGAATACATTTGCAAAACAAGCTCTCGCACCCCCGACGGCGGAGCGCATTAAAATCGATTAAAATTTAGCTGTCGAGCAAAAACCATTACGCGACCAGAATGAGGCACGACAAGTTCGTTTTGTGTGCGTTTGATTATGACATTCAGCAAATTGAGATTTCTCGTACGGAAAAAGCGGACGTTCTCTTTATATATGCATATATGCATATATATATACATATATATATATATACATATACACGCGCATACTTTTATATTACGTTGTCTTCGCATTGACGAGTTCGCAACGCAGATGAATGCAGATGAGCACGATGAAAACGTTCATCGATATTGTTTCCATAAATCCTGGATTGCATCGCATGCGTCATTTTCCCCTCCCTCCCCCTATTCGTTAGTCCGGCTCGTCACAACTCGTCGGTTTTTTCTTTTTTTTCCCCCCCTCCCGATTTGCCCGAAATTTTTCGCGTTCGTAGCACCGTAAGGCATTCGCGCTGATTGCTACGTTTGTGCCGGAAAGAGGATTTTCAGCGGTCGCGTCTCACCCGTTCCGGCGAATATCTCACATTTATTTGTCATTATTACTCGAACATTTGGAACCCGGAGCGCTTACGGGATATCCCGGATCTGCCGGATGTTACGCATTCATTAATAATACGACCGTCTCAAATGTATATAACTTCGCTATTATTCCATCGTTACATTGATTTATGATGCAGGAACATAGTTTAATTCGCGCTTAAACCACCTCTTTCCGTCGTCTCTGTCTTCGGCTTCTCCTCTCTTTTTCCTCCTCCTCCTCCTCTCCCTCTTTTCCCAACCTCCTGTTCCACGCTTAAGTCAACCTGGCAGCACAATGGAAGGCAATATTTATCGAACAAACGGGTTAGATTGTTTTACGAACGGCAGCCTAGATTTGTTGGCCGACGAGTATATTTTTCCCCTCCCCGTTCTTCACTTTTTTTTCCCGCCCCCGTTCTCCTCGCTCTTTTGCCCTCTGGCATTTGCCACTTTCGCTCGTTCGCGCTTCCTTCACGGACCGGAGGAATGCAGTTCGGACAAACGGATTTTGCAGAATGGATCGTCCTTGACCTGTATTATCAGGGTCTAAGGGTCGGACGACGTTCTCCCGCGTTCACCATGTATCGACACGAGCTCACGTTTGTGGTGCACGCACTAACGACATGCCCGACAAGAGCCCACAATGCTTTCCCGTTCCGCATATTATATCGATCAAGCCTATTCCGTATCTCTTCCGCCTCGTTTCAGAGAGGATCGAGTCTACAAACTTTCCGACCTATTTATCCCACCCCCTTCCACCTCTCGCTTTTTAATCTCGCTCCGCATAGCCGGAAAAATTTCGGGTTTTTTTGTTACGTCGTTGGGAAAAAGATTTTAGTGAAAAAATGTGTGTGTGTGTGTATTTTTGTATACATATGTAATAAAACCTCTATTATCCGAACCCCGTTCAAGCTCGGTTATTCAAACCGGTATTGCACAAGAGAATGAACATCCCTCGTGCACATACTGCACATTACGTTTACGCAAACACATGTAGGCGGATGTTACACATGATATAACATACGTCTTCATCCTAGTACTATAATAGTCGACTGAAATAACCGTGTACATATACCAGCAAGACGTAAACGCCAGAGAACCAACATTCCCAGTCATTCTGAAGTATATTCTCTGCTTTAGAAACAAGTCTCAGATGTTACGAGGTACGGAAAGAAAACGCGGTCTCTCGCTGCAACAAACGTACTAAGGAAAATATGTAAATTGAGCAGCTCAGAAGGACTGGAAAGATGGAATGAAGGTTGAAGAAAACTGTTAAATTACTGTGATAATTTCTATTTCGTTATCAATTCACAGAATGTTATGCGATAAGTAAACTTCCTTTGGTTTAAAATGTTATTTGTTATTTGACTATTCGTAAAACTATGGATCATCCGAACATCTTGTTGTCTAGATCGGATAATAGAAGCTCTAATCATCTTTATAACATTTAATTTTAGATTACTTTTCTCTCCCGTTACTTTCTATCGCTCGACAAATCCGCTTTCTGAAAACCGCGACTGATAGACTCGGCGGGACAACCACTGAATAGGGCAAGGATCTCGGGTTGAATATGAACGAAGGTACTAGTGAAATTGTACCCGTGTCAGCTTCGGATTGGGGCATAAATTCTTGTAGCTCCGCTATCAGCTGGCCGATCTCTTCCGAGTCCTTTCGGATGCTGCACAGCTCCTCCTCGTTGAAGTCCGGTCTAATCTGTTTGCACAGGAGGATCTGCGAGACCACATTGCCGATATACGAGGGACCGGCGCGGCTCTCTGTAACGCGATAACGAAAACTGTGTCGTTAGATTTCGACGGCGCCAATTCAATTTCGGTAATGTCTTCCTTTCATCTCCCGGTATATACTCCCGCGAGCATCTCTCTCGCGGGAAAAATATTTTTAAGCGAAGGGTGGCGGAAATAATAATCACGCTTTTATTTAATAATACGTATAATATGTTAATACGCGTAACGCTCTGTTTAGCGTGGGTTTAATATAAAAGTGCATAGGGCGTTCCTTATCCTTTTTTTCTACTATTTTTTCGAGGTTTAAAAAAGCTTCCATAAACTTTATAATACGTGCAACGGAGGGAGAAATAAGCGAGCGCCCGGAACAAGCTATAGTATTAATGTCAAGGAAATAGTTATAAATTATTCGGAGCGAAGTTTTACGTATGAAAGAGGGAGATACCTTGTATTGTGGCTTACTTGTTACTTCGCAAACGTTGCAAAAAGTTAGAAAAAAAAAACACATATTAACGCTACTCTTGCAACGGTGATTCGTCACTCTCTCTCTCCTCTCTTTCTCTCTATCTCTCTTTCTCTCTAACACATGTACGTCGTGTGCAACAGAATGCGACTCGATTGTAGGAAGCGACGTGTAGTCGGAAATTGGGATTTGCCGAATGCGTGGCAGCCTATAACTATACGGTAGTTTTGAGAGTTATGGTCCGTTGGGATATACACGCCGTAAATCAGTCTATCCGGCCTGGCTCAAAGCGACCGCAGAAACCGATTTAACGTTGCAATAACGCCGATAACGCAACGTGACTCGATTCCGACGACACCTTTGCGCTCGTCCTTTACGATCTTTCACGCAAATCTCTCTCGCGGGTTTTGCATAATTAAGTGTATTATATTATCGAAAACGACGTGAATTAAATTTTGTCTCATTGTCGACGAGCGTTCATTTATCTGTCGAGATTAAAATCGCGGGCGACCGAGTCGCGGTACTCGATAAAAAGAGCAATCAGTCAAGTGCCCTGTGGATTCCTCCCACTTTCCTGCATCCGCGGGTTCTTCGAACAATTTAGAGATAATTATTGTATCGCCACCAAACGTTTTAACATGCATGACTTACCGTAATAACCGGACATATCCATGGGTATGATTTGTATGAGGTTTTTACTCTTGTGCAGTTCGCGTAAGAAGAGTTGAGCCACGTAAAACAGCAGCACCAGATTTGGACTGTCGACTGGTATCCCAACGTCAATGGCGCTGAAAACAAGGTATTTCCAAAAGATTTTCAATCGTCTATAAGATTAATCCTTAATAAGAGCATGTATATGTACTTATATGTACAAAATATATATGTTAAGTATATAATCTCGCTCCGGTTCCCAGATCTTACGAAGTCTCGGAAGTAACATGAAAGGAAAGCGTGAACGTAAAGCGCGATGATGAATAAAACCGCGAAAGATCACGTTATCGTTACTGAATGTACGGCGAGGTAAATCGCATTATCGCGAGAGATACGAATTGCTTTAACGACTTCCTTGTCAGGTCCTCTCTCGGATGCGCCCGATTTTAGTTGAAAGTCCATAAATCTGATTTCCCCTGCGCTCCGCCTTCGCGCTCCGTAGCTCGCCGAGTTAATTACATTAAAAACATTATTACTACTGCTTACGCGAAGGGGTCATCCGCGAGTCACAACTGGCACAAGTATATACTGGTCTCATTAACGCGCGCACCTTTCGCAGACGTGTTCAAGTGTCGGTGTGTTGCATCCCGTATTAGGCAACCCTGTTCCTCGTCTCTTTTTCCCTGGCATGACATTTGCGGCGGTAAATAAAAACGTCACGGCATTAATGACGTACTCGGGTATACATGTAAGAATTTTCAAGGACGACGGAGAGGGAGGCCTGCTTTAGGATGATCTCGTTGGATACGCAAACCTTTAGCGCGGGAACAAACGCGAGCGGTAAACGGTTCCGAGCGATATCACATTTCCGCGCAGCGGATTTTATATAATAAATACGTTGCCTTGAATTTCTGAAGAGAGTCACCGGCGATATTTTATGAAATATGCCGTGAAGCGTAATCCGATAACGTAAAATCGTGGCACGGGGGGATAGGCAGCACGGTAGAAGGCCGCAGGAAAACCAAGTTCTCTGATTAACCCGTTTTACGTCAATTACCGCATCGGTCGAGCATTGAGCGAAGTCCTTGCAGAGAAACCATTTCGGTTGGCTTCCGTTTAATGAGATTCCAATTAACGTGCGAAATAGACTGGCACGACCGAATAAGGCAACCGATCTCGATCTGTAAGCATATTCATGACAGCTTCTTGCCGCGGGTAAGACGACTGGATTACCAAAAAGCTGTTAATTTCTTCTTTTTTATATATATATATTTCCTGATTACCTTATCCTGTGTATACACTTGACTATCATTCAAGGTTAAACATTCGGAAAATAAAGTTCGGATCGGAAGTACACTATAATGAAAGAGATACAGAGTCGATGGGGATTGAAATGAGTTAACTTTCGTTTGCCGTAACTCGTGGCGGCCTTGTACGAACGGGCTCGGATTTCAATATGTTGGAATTTAAATCCTTTTGCGAGAAAACCCGTCTGGCACACCGTACAGCCGTTCGCAGCGCTGAAGGAAAGAAAAGCTATCGATTTCACAGATTGGTTCCTCGCAAAAAGTTAAGCCAGGAAGGTTGAACCAAAGGTAGAAGTGAGTTTCGTAAAAAGGTTAGCGCCACTCCCAATTACTGATTCCTTTTCCCTTCATCTACCTTTTCTCTCTCTTCCTCCCTCCCTCTCTCCCCCTCTCTCTCTCTCTCTCTCACTCATCTTCACTCGGTCGTCTTTGAATAATACCTTCCAGGGCTTTGCACACCTTAATGAAAACCTAAATGTTTCACGAATTCGTTTCTTTGAAATTCCTTTCATGTAACTCTCCTGTCCGAAGTGAAAGGACAAACGTGTAATATGCACGTCGATATTATATATACGCAACTATATAGCTCAGCACTTTAGGCATTATTATTACGTTACGTCCACTCTACTGATTAATTTCAACTTTAATCGCGAAACAGTTTAACCCACGAAAGAGTAAAAAGTCGCTTTCGGCGAAGCCGTGGGGAGGATGATAGGTAGACAACGGAATTTCATTTTCCCCGCATTAATTTACAGCGAGTTTCTCCTCGGCCGAAACTTGACTCGGGAGTTGACCGGATAATACTCGTGTCGGAAGGAAAAAAAAAGTATGATGAAGATTTAAAGCGAGGCCGTCCATCTCGCCGTCCGTTCATAATTGTAACCGAATATCTGGAGCGCGCTTCTGCAACGCGAGAATAATTATTTGACGAACGCCGAAATTAGACTGTTATATTACGGTTGAATATGAGGCCCACGCGCAACGTGGGATTTTCAATGAGCGGCGTTTAATTAGATACCGACGTCGAATATAACTATCGGCATCGTAAATGCCCGTCGTACACGCACCGTTTTACCTTGCTTCGCTTAAGCCGGCTCATCCCGGCCGTTACGAAACGTTAATTATTGCACCTCCGTCCGCCACCGCCCCGGTCCGTTATAATGGCGTTGCTTCTCTCCCCGAGCTGGCAGGCACGGGAACAATATCGCTATACGGGACAAGCGCTCGCGTTTCCAGCTCCGTTTGATTACGTCGACAGCACCTGCCGCGGCGCACAACAGTTCAATTACTCGCAAATTGTTATACTCGCATCGGTCATCAACTATTGCGCCTCAAGAAGTTATAGATAACCCCGGGGGTATAATTTCTTTGTCCGTCTCTCTGCGTGTCTATATATCTACCGCGTTACGGTCTTCCCCCGCGGATGGGGCACGATCTACGATCAATCGATCATCTTTACACGCGCGTTCGATTGCGCCGCATGTGCACCCCCGTGGCCGTTCGCTCGATTTATGTTCCAGCTCGCGCGCGGACGTATACGCGAGCATTTCGTGCGCCGTATCGCCGCGAAACACGCAACCGCTCTTGCATCGATTATGCAAAGCACACACCGACATTTTATTCGCGCGCCTTTTTTTTTTCTTCGGAGATCAACAGCGGCCGCCCACCGCACACCGTGGTACGCCTACGTTAATCTAGGAATTACGAGAAACCCCGGCGCATAGCTTTCCGAATTGCAAAAGCGACCGCCAGCGCGGTTGCCTCTCGCTAGCTCCGCTACTCCTATACATGTGAAATGAGGGCGTTCAAAATTGTACAGTGTATGTACATCCAGTTCGCGGAGATTAAATTATTGACAGGAAATTGTTCCGTAAAGAGTTCCGACCCCGCCCCTCGCATATGTCGCGCGTTACCTCAACGTTTTCGATATGAGCAGACGTACGACTCTCTTCTTGCTTTATTTCAAATTCCTGCTTTGTATCCCCTCTTCCGTGCAATTTTCACTATTTTTCATTTCACCCGTGGAAAACGCTCGAGAATTATTGCGCTTTCAAGCACACTGTTTTCATTTTATCGGCCATTCGTCATTCAATGTTATTCGGTGGCTTGGCAAGAGCCGGTATCTGTCTAGTTGTCACCTCGAGGGGTCTCGAGAACGAAAATCGTTCACGAAGCTCGCGGGCGATCTCGAGTCGACGATGGACGGTGGTGCAATTTCTCGCGATAATTGGGTGGCGATGCGCCGCGCGAAACGACGTCAACTTTTACCGCGTTCTCTAGCGCAAGCAACTACAAAAACAAACGCAACGGGAGGCAATAATCCTCCCGGCATTAATATTTGATCGGTGTCGGGTAAGTCGGCGGCTCTCGGGAGTGCAAAACTTTCCAACGAGCGAGCGCTACCGCGACCTGGATCAAGCGAGATCGACGAAGCACAGTCCTACGCGTACATATGTACACGCGTTATATGTTATATGGTGCATATGTGACGTTGTATATTTGACTTTACGTGTAAATAATCTCCGCGTTATGTGCGTTATCACGGCGCTGTCAACGTTTCTGTCAGGTCCCTTCTTTCGCAGCCACGCCATCGCGGTAATGCCTGAAAATTAAGATGGACGGGTAGTTCGAAAACATGTTTTCTAATTTTCAGCGCGCTTGAGCAACGCCGGGGATAAAGGATTTTCCGCTATTGCGGCATAACGGCAAATCTGCTATCGTATATTCGATGCGGAAGCAATCAAACTTCTCTACCATGACCAATTATTCGATATTGCAGCGGAACTTGTTTTGTGTGATGGAAGATCTCGCATGAATATGCCGTTAAAGCGAAACGGTCCATCTCTAGAATACACATTTCGTAATGAAATAATTCGTTATTAATATAATAAATAAACGAAATATAATTTGTAGATTTAGCAAAATTATTTTCAGCAAACAAAATTGTACTCGTGATGAATCTTTTTGCTGGTCGTGCGGTAACTAAATAACATTTCCCGCTGCAGCATAAAAGTATGTACCGACGCGTTGTGTATCGAGAAATCTTTTTTTATTCTCCGCGTATATACACTCGAGAACTCCAGAATACATTTTATTATTACATAATTTCGCGATGTATTATTAACGTGAAATGATGAGCACGCGATTGAATTGGAATTACTAAATATATACGTAATAAAGCCGTCCGCGTCAGATAAACAAGATGATTAAATCAGTTGATTAAAATTGCGTTGCAGAAATATTAGATTTTTGTCGAGGACTTTGCAATTCACCGCGAGGTGAATTGCAAAGTCAATCGCGAGTCACAGACGGCGGAAATCCTGCGTAAATCGGTGATAAATGTGCGCCGCCTGGCGCGCCCAGCAAACTTAAGGAATAAAAGTTATTGGAAGTGCTCGGCGGCGGCGACGGCACATGACGTTTTTCTCACGACCATGATTCTTCGAACGTTCGGTCGTTCGTCGTCTCTCTGTGACCTGCATTGTGCGAAACGTGCGATGGACTTGGCAGAAGCAATGTTAGAAATCGAGAAAAACTTCTTCTCTCTCTCTCTCTCTCTCCCTCTTTCTTCCTCTTGCTCCCTATTTCCCCAAGCAACTTGAATCCTGAGTTTAGGGCGGCGGAACCTTGTCCTATATGCGACGTCCTCGTTAATTCCGCGGTTTACATACGCGCTCCTTCAACTTCGCGCAAAGAAACGTCGATCTCGCACGACCGCACCGGTTGGCTGCAGCGACTCCGTTCTCGTTATCGTTGCCGGAAAATTGCCGCAGTAGCCTCAGCCCTTGCGAAAGCACACGGCTGGAATCGCGGCGGAAACGAGTTCGCACGATCGAGTTCGCTTTCTCGTTGCGGCGTGATAGATGAGTAATCCGTCTGCCGAACGGATTAACGTAACTGATCGAGCGCGAATAGTTTGAAGGGACTTCGGTGTAAGTGTACTCTCTGCACCTGCATATATCAGTATCGAACAGATACCCAACTCAAACGTTCGTTCCCTGACGTGCCGTAGGCACTGTCCTCGAAGAGAAATTTGAATAAAACGCAGGATGTAAGTTTTTAACTGTTATGCATTTAGATTCTTAACTCTAGCTGGCTACACTTATTTTCGAGTCCTTAATTCGCCACACTCCGGTCCGTGAGACTACTCGATTTTGTGCATTGACATTTTTATTCTAATAAATATTTTTAAGCTTGTATACTGTATAAATTGGAAATACAGATTCTAAGTAAGATGTTTATGATAATACCATCAGGTCAAGAAAATGATTTAAAGTTAAACTAAACTTATTATAAAGAAATTAGAAAACTATGTTACTATGTGAAAACTAGAAAACAAAAAAACGTTCAGTGGTCCACTGGACCGGAGCGTGGCGTTGTGGGGTTAAATTTTCACGGATCTCTCCTTGGAGATCTCTGTGGGATTCAAGGATTGTCTCGAGATCTAGGCTCACCTTTTGACGTGCGGCAGCACCAGTTGAGATGTGCTCTTGCAGGCCTCCACGCAGCTGCGGCGCAGCTTCCGTATTTTTTCGCGCAGCTCCGGACAGTCGCGCGGCTGTCCGATGTTAATGAGCAAATCTCGGAACTGCGCTACCTGGCTGTTTATGTCCTGGATTTGCTGAAACGCACGAAAAGTGAAACTCGCGATCGGGCTCCATCGATTATCCCATTTGGAGTGGCGGAAACGCCGGATATACACGCGCGCTTCAACGTGGCAATAATGTTCTCCCCCCCCATGTCACTCTCGCTATTATTATATTTCTCTTGTCGAGCAATTTCTCGTTTACGCTCGTCCAAATACCGAATAATGATATGTTTGCATAACGTTGGAACTATCTTGCCACATAATTTGACATTCCGAAGAGCCATTGTTATAAATAATTGAGAGCGACAGATAATGGCCTGTGTCATCGATAATTTACGAATCGATTGCGTCACGAATAACTACTAACGGACGTGATCGTCCACGGGGAGAGATGCGCGGCTCTCGAAAAATTAAAAAATAACGTCGCGCTAATCGCTCCGCGAGTCCCGTCCCGCAATTATCCGCCCAAAATATCACGTATTATTCCCGGCTGACTTTATTCGATTCCCCCAGCATCAATTATCCACGCGGGTACCCTGTATAAAAAGTGAAATGGAAAGGTAACGGCGGCGAGGGGCTCTTAAAAAATGAATTAAGGAGACTGCATATCGGATTAAAAATCTCGCCACGATGACGTGAAAAATGGTCGCGAGTCGGTTGCAGCGAAAGCTCGTTAAAGTTACATCGACTCGGGAAAGGTAATTTACGTTGTGCCGCGTCCGGGCCCCGTCCGCGTCCGCGCGATTCGCGCGATTTCAGATTCGCGCTTACCAGCAACACCGTCTTATCGGATCTCTCGGGCTTGTCGGATTTGTCGTCGTGATGTCTACTGGTCGATGGTGTCGGGGAATCCGTCATCATCCAGTCTTGTTACGGACAATTTGCTCGCCAATCGTCATATCACCCGGCACAACGGCGATCATTTCCCGCGAGCATTTCCGGCGCGGCGAGCGAGGCACGCGGCTCCCGCGGAACCCCTCCCGGACCGGAAGTCACCCACGGGGGGGTTTTTCACACACGGTCTTGACGATCGCGTACCGCGCACCGATATATAGTCGCCGTCGCAAAGTGCACCTCGTGCGCATTCCCGCCACGTGATCCTCTTTTTTTTTTTGTACCGCGCGCCGGTTATTTTTACGCGATCAATCCCGCTTCACTTAAAGCTGGCTGATAATAGGCTTATCGTTCTCTCTCTCTCGCCAGTGGCATAGTCATCTCTCGGCCGCCACCGGAGCGGTGTAGTCGCTGCAGCGTGCTCGACCTTTTCCCCTCGTTTGCTTTTTAAAGACTTACGCGACATATTCTAATCGGATGTAGCGTTAAATAGGATCACGTGCATCCTTCGATTCCGCGCGCGGGTCGAGTCTACGGCGAGATTTCTTTCTCTCGCTCTCGTAAGAATTTAAATTCCAATCTCGGGACCGGATATCGACGCGGGTAAGAAATTTCTCCCCGCGGAAGCTGTCTCGCGGGACGAGTTTCAGCCACGTACAAACTGCAGTTTCCGCGAGCCTGAACTCCGATCGTATCGCGTATCTCGTCGTTTCGACGGAAACGTACCGGGACGCGCGGGACGAGATCTCGGACGAGATCCGATATCGACGTCGCGGGCGCCGGGCGGTCGGGCGGGAATTTCACGAGCGGAATTTGGGTTTACGCGCGAGGAGCGGCGATCCGCGACGAGCGACGAGGTCGCGCGGCGCTCCGTCGAGACGTCATCTCGCCCCCTCGGCGGGACGATCGCGTGGGACTCGCGCACCACCGCCCCTCCGGTCCTCCTCGGTCACGTATGTACGCGTGACTCCTCGCGTGCGCTCTTCTCTCTCTCACGGCATCACGGCATCTCACGGTTACCCTTTCCCCGTCCGAGATAACCGAGATCACCGAGAGAGCACTGCGACGGCGGCAGGAGAGTGGAGTGCCGCTATACGAGCCGTAGCAACACACGCGACGGACTGAAACGTGGGTTTCGCCCTCGAGCTCTTTCACTGCCGCGCGCCACCCTGCGCCGAGCGCGCATGTCTGACTCGCGCTACGGCGCCTCCACTGCGACCGTTTTTCTGGCGTTTCGCAACCCTTGTAAAAATAGCCAATTTGTCCCCTCTATTTAATAACGTCGTTGTGAAACAACGTGATTTTCTTATTTGCTCTCGTGCCACCTTGGCCGTCGCGTTGCGTCGCGATCGCGCTCTGAGCGAAATCGCTGCCAAGCTGCGCGAGATAGTTATTGGCGGTATAGCCGGACGCTGATTCTAAAACACAATGAGAAAGTAGGGCAAAACTTTTTAAACGAAGCTTTGTTTTCGTGAAAATTCAATTTGAAAATCAGACAATTAGAGGAACGTCTATTCTCTGTTTTGAACTCGCGTAATTTTCAATAATATTCCAAGTTGATGAATTTGTTTTAACAATGATTTCTCTCTCTCTCTCTCTCTCTCTTGGCTCTTTTTTTTGAAATACGAGGAAAAATATATTTCTAATTAAAAAAATGTATTTAAAACAATTAATATTTTACAAATATCTCTCCAACGCAACAAGAAGTATTATTTATTATTTTTTTAAATGAATTTTTTTGTTATTGAATTATTTTATTTTTTGATAGAATTTGATAGTTTGCGTTAATGTCAGTTATGCATACTTGAACGGTAGAAAAGATGTTATTAATTCTCCGATTGATATAATATAGAAAATAAAGTCTTATATAGAAATTTTATTCTACGGTTTCGACTTTTTTTCTTTTTATGTAAAATCACCATTAATAACGAATCGTCCTGTTTCGTAGCGATCAATTTTGAGCTACACATTTCAAAATTGTAGAAAAAGTAATATTTTTTTAATACATTTAATCATTTTAAAAATTAAGTACAATTAAAGCATGCCAAACACACAATCTTTTTGTAATTTCGTCTCGACGGTGTTCTATTTTCGTCAAACGAAGACGCAAACACAGGGTGCATCTACGGAGGAAAAGATTTTGTAATAAATTGTTCTAGACTGAACATTGTCTCACCGAGAAATAATTACGTTAAAGTAATATAAAGTAGTACAGATGTATAGAGTTGCATCATGCATGAGGAAAGTTGCCTCGGTTTCAACACACTCATCCATCGTATGCATTACGGCCGCAATGCACTTTTAGCCGAGAAACATATACAATTCCGTTGCAACGATACCTATATATACGCCCGCGGTGCCGCGTTTCGTCGAGCCACTTTACGCGGAGACGTTCGGGTACTTCGAACGCCGTAAAAGCTATACCAGTATAACGCAATTTCGATGCATTAATTGACGTTGCATCCCGACGACGACGTTGCACGTCGACGATACTTTCGCCATTCGGTGCCGCACGTGCCGCCGTCATCCTACCGACAAACTTCCGGCGACGTTATTACCCTTTAAAGTTTTTAGAACCTGAAAATTCCAAGGATTCGCATAATTTCTGTAGCGCTGCAGCGAACACGACTTTTCCACGTATGGCTAAAGTCTTTCAAGGCTCCCTGTCATTTCTTCCGGTTCCTGTTTGGCTTCGGTACGTCAAGGGAAATTTAATTTCGAGCGGGACTCTATGTTCGAGGGAGTATAGTCGATACGAGTCGATAAAATCCGATTAGGAACGCACAAATCAAATATTAATGTCCTCATACATTTATAGATATGACATAATAATGTTATTTTAAATTACATAATTGTGTACGATTAATGTCTGTATGCATAACGTCCGCAAATTTATGTGTGACGCACACACGTGTACTTTTGTGTAAAATGACAATTGAGTTGCGACTCTATTAATGTCACGCATCAGCTTGCATCTATGAGCGCTGCATTCGACAACGTACACGCGTCCTATGAATTATGGGCGTGTGCACGCGACAGTGCACTCATATTGTATAATTATACAAATTGACAACAGTCAGGACGCAGTTATGCCCCGCAGTCGCCGTCGTCGTTCGCAGTAACGGCGATTGCAGCTCTCTCTCTCTCTCTCCGCCGAGTATTCGATCGGCCTGGAATTATTGGATCTCATTAATGTCCGAATTAAGCTGCTGGCGCGAATATTAAAAGTGTCGCGTTTCTCGCTTCTCTCGGTCAGAAATAGATAATCGCTCGATGGAGAGAGTCGACGGAAAGTCGTTCATCGAGTCATTGTTAACCGATCCTGTTTGCTAAACCGCTTTCCCGCTTCTTTGTCCGCCATTCTCTTCTTTCATGCTATACATTTTTCCGTTTTCTCTCTGATGGAGTACCTTCCGAGAATATTTCCATTATCATTTAGAAGTTTGAAAGAACGTCTTATCGCTCAAATCGACTTACGTACACCATTACGTCGCATTACATGTACCGTAGATTATTTCTGCTACCGATAATTGAGACTCAGCGTATACAAGATACAAATCTCACTCTCAACTTTCGCTCTATCGAGTCGTTTAATCTGAAATGTATACAAACATTAACCTTCCTTCCAAACTAATTAATTACACAACACATTTTTCTTTTTACGCTGACGTTTAATGCTTAAGTTTATTTTTACTTCCTTTCATTTTTTATTCTTATCTTTAATTACTTCTAGCCTGCACCATTACATCATTATGACTTTCTTCTTTTTATTTTGATCCGTGTGACTACTGTGAGTACTTGTACTTTCTGTTACGTATAATGTTTCTTCGAAAGGAATGCTATTCTAAGATACATTTGATAAAGTATCTATCTATATATCCTTTATTCTGTTTGCGACATCCGACTATCCGACGTGACTTCACTTTTTATTTACTCCCCGCCTCCTCGCGCCCTTTTTATTCTCTTTCTTCTTGCACTCCTTCGTTCGCCCTCGCCGCTTCCAACGGATCTGTCCCGTTTCTCTCGTTCCTCTTGTGTGACAGACCCTAGGGTGTGCCCGAACCATCGATTACCTTAAGAAATTAAATTCAAGACTTGGCTGCGCGGGATACTTGACGTTGAAAATTAAAAGCTTGCGAGACAGACAACCGGGTCTGCCTCGTAAATTTCTCCCTAAGACTCGCTTCGCTCACAGTTTCGAGAGAACGGGCCCGGTATAGTTTGTACGCAATACGTGATCCGCGTGATGCACGCATTCGCGGCCCCGGCGGTCTCGCGCGAGAAAAGCGGATGAAAGGATTTTGCGGGACTACGGTCGACACCGACGAGGCGCAATCCTCGGACAAAGGACGGCGCGGGGTACAACGGGGCATCGCGAGGGCACGACACGGCTGACAGTAACGGTCGCAAAATAGTCGGAGCGACGGAAGCTATTTTCGAAGTTCAATCGAATCGACTTCTCCACTCGTTGCTGGCCGAGGCAAGAGTACCTGCAACGCAAGGTACGATCGAAATTTTGTACGTAAAAATTTGAAACTTTCTCGGAATCGCACTCGAACTTCGCGAGTTATTCCGCTCCGGATACGACGCGGTGGTTCCCGCTGGTACGATCGATAGCGCCTTCTCAAATTGCTTTCCTGACAATGGCACCTAGGTACGATCACCGGACGATTCAATTTGCCGAGGCGTCCCATGAAAGAATCATCCCGGGAGCGACGTATAAGAACAGGGGACTCCCTCGAATGGCCCCGTGGATAATGCACCAGGGATACCCGGCGATTTCCCTTTGGAGATAAGATTAGTTATCAAACTGATGAGTTACTTATTTACTACTTATTTTCCGCTACGAAGCAACTCGAAGCGGCTAATTACAACAAGTAAGATTTTACGAGGTAGGACTCTAAATGTTTGATTTTTCGACCGCGGCGGCGATAATTGTATTTTCTTCTTTATTTTCCCGACCGCTTTCTCTACCTGGCTGGCGGCGGAGAGGCACGTTAGTCTACCTACCGCAACCGGCATGTTCGTGACAACTCTTAACTGCCTTTTTAACACAATCCTGTCGTGGAGAAATCGTTAGCTTCCGCGGCGAGCGAGCCAACACATACACGGCGTCGCAAACGCTCGACTTTAAACGGATTACAAACGCGTCGCGCCCCTTCGGTCTCTTTCTCTCTCGCGGAGAATTATAGGCCCGTAAATTCCAGTTTTACGTCGCTGGCTTATCGCACGGCGTACATTGCGCAAAGAGCCCACCGTCGGCTCTTTTTTTTCCGCCACGGTTAGGAGCAGGAGGAAGTGCGACCCCTTTCCTAGGATATTATAGCGCGTTGCACTCCTCACGTTTTATACTCTAGTGGGTTTATTATACACGAACCGCGGGAGATTAGCATATGCATTCGCGTACACAAGGCGTAATAAGATGTCCGAGTGACCCCGAGATATCGACGTTCCGTGATAATCGCGAAAGACCGCGCGACGTCGGGTACGAATAATATTGAAACGGTTTTAATATTTAGCGGGGGTGGGATTGTGCCAGAGACGCGCTCTCGGTGTAATCGTTATTATTACAGTTTCAAAGCCGTATGTAAGTATCGGTTTGCGGATTACGTGTACATAGCGAGGGAGGGGGGGGGAGGTGAATTGCGTTATGCTATTTCATTCCGATGACACTGTAGCGGTGCACGTAGTTTCAGGAAGTGTCATTAACATGCGGTGGATAAGCGACACGGCGAAGATATTCGCTGACATATCTCACGGTTATCTTCTCATTGGGTGTATGTACGATATGTATGTATACAGACTATACATATGTAACGCGTATCCATCTCTGTATTGCGTCATTACCGTTCTATTTCCACTTCTCGTTTTATTAATTAAAAACGAGGATCTCTCTCTTGTTCTGCAACACAAATCGGCACAAAGAAATATTGACATATTCGGCTATATTGAATCTAATAATAATTTCGCGAGTTATTTACACCCGTTTTGCACATCGCTATTTACAAAGGATTATTAAGTCCACATGATCATTTCCATAACGTATTGCCATCGTACCGCTTTGGTTTATGTCGCTAATTTATTTGTATCGTCTTCCATGCGCTATCCCGGAAACTGCACGTCGTTTCGCCTTTTAAGCCAGATACGACGGAGACCGAACGAGAGCGCGGACAGCTGCAGGGCAAGCCTCAAAATATATTAAACGGTTATCCGGTATTAATTACCAAACGCGAACGTTCGAATTGCGTCTGGGAGAACATCGGCAGGGGACGCAGGCAGGGGGGATGGTTATCGACCATTCCTGCTACATGCCACAAATTATCTCATTGGCCGTATATGGCCTTGGCCGCAGATTCTGCCCGCGTTACTTTCGCACTCCGCAATCTGAACTCTGATGCTGAAACAATATTGATATTTGATACGCGCGAAACCACAGGACAGAATGGACTCGATCTCTTATTTGAATCCGGCTGCCTCGGGCCATTTATTTACCAATGAAAATTGAGAAACAAGCAGGCAGTCACCCTCAGGGAGATGAATCTATCTCATATACTCACATTTGCAATTAATTGTATACCAAATGGAAGAAAAATACATTAAAAATATATACGTCCCTCTTGAGCTTCGCGTATCAATTTGATAAATAAGCGTAAATAGTTTGGATCGACAAGAGTCTTCGCTGAAAATTATGAGAATGTACTTCGAAATTATTGTTTCGTTTATTACGCAAGTATCTGAAATATGAATTTTTTCATAGATTTATGTGCAACCAAGCGCGCCTTATCACATTACTTTTCGAGATTATTCGGATTTTATTTATTCTTTCTCGTCGCCTTCGGTAAATTCCAATACACTGGAGAACACAGGCAGAGTTCTTCGTTTTTTGCCTCGACTTATTTTCTTGATTTTCCGCTTCACAAATGTGATGACACACATTTTCTTTCTCTCTTTCTTTCATCTTCTGCCGTTTTTCCACCACTTCACTTATTTGCTGTGGTAAGGTAATTTATCGTGTAAACGCATCTCGAAAAATTCAACACAGGCCATCGTCGACATTGGAGTTTCGCTGGTTTGTCGAAAGCGCGCGTACTTTCTCAAGGAGAAGGTACTGTTACAGTGAACGGAAATTGTTTCTATTTATTACTCGACGAGAGAGTGCGCTCGGAGTATAATGTGTTTGGTCTTGAATTTTGCAAGAACAAGTCATCGTTACCAATCAATCAAATTGACCCAGTTTTATAAACCATGTATATCGTTTGGTGGATAATGAGATTCTTCGTGATGAGAAAATAGAATCTCTGAAGGAAGAATCGTTCCCCCGAGGAGGAAACGCGAATCCCCCGCGAAGAATCGATGGTAAGCAACTGTGGATTACGGTTGGACGGCTGCCGGAAATGAGGCAGAAGTTGTACCGAGAATTTCGTGGATCTCCCGAAGCCAAACTGTTTTCCGCGTGTGCAATTGTTATGGCGCTCGGTAATTGGATTCGCCACCAGCGATATGCGCTCCGTCCGAATTCCATCCCGCCGGAGGAAAATATGACTGCGGAAATAAAAGCGCGCGCGCGCGGGGCTCGTTCAATGAAATGCATTTTACAATACAATTGTCGATACCCTCAGCTTCGTCTCGGAGACTCGAATAGATGTGAAATCGACCGTAATCATTCGCGATTCGTAAAGGTGAAAAAAGTATCGCGTTGACAAACAAATGAAAACGGGGCGAAACAAACGGATAAAATATATGATTCAGAAACATATCGTTATGTAATTATAGACGTAGTCATTATGCATTTTCTCGTTATGCAGAAGCTCCGTTTTATTTGCGAAGAGTATCTAATTTAACAAAAAATATCGTGATGTGATTCGCTCTCATGTGCCGTTATCGACACAGTTGATGCCGTTGAAGGTATAACGAGCGAGTTTTAATGAACTAATGAAACGCAATCACTCTGTAATACTGATACAACGCAAAGTTGGTCAGCATTTCGGGGTTATTTCACGGGCTGTTTAATCAGTCCGCCATGGTGTGTATAACGCAATTTACAATGCGGTGTTGTGCCGCTCTAATTATTCCGAACTGCCAGAGTGCGGTCTGAGACAACGCGCTATAAAATCGCCGCGCATCGAAATGCGTCGCGGCATACAAGCGAGAACAATTATATCGTTTAGGACTCGTTTTGTTTTCTCGATTTACGATTTTTGCGGTCGTGCTCGACACGCCGTCGCACTATGGAACGTTTGCACCTATTTTTGGCCAAAATTAGAAAGATTGGTTTTTATTAGATGAATTTGCGTGTGCATTAGAAGTTTTTAGGGTTGGTGGAAGATCAGTAGAGGATTCCAAATGGCGGATCCAATATGACGGCCGAAGGTATTAAAAATAATTGTTTGTTTTGCATGAAAATGAGACCCAAGAGGTTTTGGGGGTCACTGAATTAAAAACTTAAAATTTAAAATGGTTGATCTTATCAGTTTTATAGCCGCAGCAAAAAAAAACAGATACAAACGTCCCATATATTGCGTCGACGTGTCGTCGTCAAATCGAATTGAGTCGCACGAACGAGAGGAGAGGCGCAAAGGAATCTTTAGCGGCCGACATCGAGCGAGAACGTCCGTTTAGAAGCGGAGTTTACGCAGCAAAGGCATTTCAGTTCTGCTTTCGCGCGAACACAAAGGACCAACTTAATAATTTAAAGCATTAGCCGCGGCTAAAGCTCCTCCGTCTTTGAATCCGCGGCCCCTAGACAATCTCGGAGTGTCTGAGCGACTCGAAAACTGGGGTAAACTCACGGGATAACCGTATAGCCGTTGGTCGATACCCTTGCCCCTAATCTGCCCCAACGTTTCCCGGAAGATCCGCGCCGACCCGGCTCTCTCGCGACCGTAAATTATGTCGCTAAACTAATCATCATTCTCTCGTATGCTCAAAGAGTGTACTCCGACTCTGGCATTAGATGTGTCTCACATTTACGGCAACGACGGATTTCTCCCACATCTGGTTAAATAAGCCTCATTTTTCTCCTCCTGGGCTATATTTGACGCCGGGGTTACCTCGAATATCCCCAGAAATGTCCCGCTCATAAAAATTCAACGACCCGTGAACGCGTCGTCAAAAATAGAAAAAACGTGCAAGACACCGCAAGAAGTTTAGTTGAGAAGAACAGGCCTGTAGCTAGAAGCTTCTTCGTGATAGCGTCCTTTTTTCCTTTGCATACGCAGCAGCTTGTGTATATATATATATAACATACATATATATAGATATATTCCGTTGCGGAGTAAGCATAAGTAGATTGTGAGGATGAGAGACTGTTGAAACACTGGAGATATATATCGTTTCGTGAAAACTTATAGAATATTGAATAATTGGACGACAGAAATATAAAACAGTCCAGCATAAAATTAATTATGTTAATTTCGATCAATATTGATAAACTTTGATCTCGGTTTAGCTTACTTTTTTTTTTTTTTTTTCTAATTCTAGGCATTAGTAAGTTGAGAATTGATTGTTATATGGAATTTATTTGTTATATGGACTCCACAACATATATATATATATTTTTTTTTTACTAGTACGTATATACATTTACTGAATTAAAACATTTACTGTGACACATGTTTATATATAAATATACTTACTGTTCAATATATGCATATACATATTGATAATATATGTATAAGTATAGCCGAAAAATTATGCAGTACATTGATACATTAACATATATGATGCATAATTTTTCTGCTATACTTATATATTATATTATCAATATGTATGTGCACATATATATACATATATACATATTGACTAATAAATGTGTAAATTTACTATGACATATAAAATAATTTAATAATTTAATGAGTTTAAAATGACTATTACTACTTGCTATTACTTACTACTAATAGTAATTCAATTTACAGTAAATTTAATTATTATTACTTCAACAAATAGTGTAAATTGTAATCATTGAAAGTAGACTTTCAAGTAGAAAAAATTGCAAGTGGCATCTGTATAAAGAATAAGTACTATAAGGAGTAAGTTAAATAGAGAGTAAAGTTAATCAGCGTTGGTAGAAATCAACATTAGCAATCTTCAGCTGAACCCCAATTGCAAAGTCCATGATCTCCTTGTGATTCTCGCGAGACCTAAACACAAATGTGATATACAATTGTAGCAAAATGTTTTTCTCGAATAAATTTTGCTCAATTTAAATTAGCATTGATAGATTGTATAACGAAATAGGAGAGTAATTTTTCAGAGACGTCCAACATTGTTAATTGCAATTTTCATCGTAAAGATGTCTAAGCAAGAGGGAAACAGAGGTTATGATTCAGAACCATCAACTAGTAGTGGATATCGCAGGAAACCATACGACAGGAATTCAGAATCAGTAAGTGGAAACTGGAAAATAAACAGATAACTTTCCCGAAACATTTAAGCTAAAAACAATAGAGATAAAACAAAATTGTGAAATAGCTTATTGTGGTATAACTTTTCTTGGTTTTTTTTATATTTCTTTCCAAATGTCCAAAAACCACTCCTTTTTTTCTCATTGTGATGATACATGTAATTCCCAGATAGCACAATTGATCTTTTTGAATTCATAAAGATCAGCTGTGCTATCTGGGTTGTTATTTCAAGAACTCTTGCTAAGATTTTTACAGAAAACTGCCTTTCTGAATGTAATTTGATATATAGTAGAAATTTTCAAATTTTTAAAGGAATTTTTCATGTTATTATTCTTGATCCTTGCTTATAGATTAGACCGATTGTACAATTGTACTTTGTACACTTTGTAGTTGAATGTATTCTTTTGCTTCTTACAGGATCGTTCATCAGTGAGAGGAATAGGAATAGGAATAGGAATAGGAATGGGAATAGGAATAGGAATAGGAATGGGAATAGGAATAGGAATAGTGAAGGTTGGTAAGATTTACAATATTATTTAAATTTTTAGTGTAATATATAAATTATATCTCTTTGTTTGATATATTTAAAATATATACATGTGTTTAGAAATCTGTTATTTCAAGAATTTTGCATATAATACTTATTCTTTCTAACAAAAAATTTAGATTTATTAATGCATATTTATATAAAATTAAATTTAAAAATTTATAAGAATGTAATAAATATGTTATTCTATTGCAACAGAGTATCAAACGCGAAGTTTCTCCAGTAAGTACATCTACGTTCTCGGAACATGAGTCAATGGAAACTGCAAGTAAGTTTTTTTGTGGAAGTCTTTATTATACATTTTTATTATTCAATTTTTTTCAATTATTGATTTATCAACATATATTAGTAAAGTATGCATTTTTAATAACAAGCTATAAAATGTAAGAGATTTTTATTATTTAGAAACAGTAAAAATATAATAAATTTAAATTAGATTAGTGGTTAAAGTTTTTAAAAGTTTTTCATGTATAATTAAAGGTGACGTTAAGAGCGAAATTAATAGTGAAGTTGAGAGTGAAACTCAAAGTAATGAGTCGCAGCAGCAGCAACAGGAGCAGCCACAGCAACAGCAACAGGAGCAGCAGCAGCCGCAGCAGCAACAAAGAGGTATCTCTCTCTCTCTCTCTCTCTCTCTCTCTCTCTCTCTCTCTCT